TGATTCGAGTGATTCCTTTGAGTGTGCACAGAACCAAAAACTCTCGTCATGCCTTATCTTGATTTTCGGAGGACTTTGGCCATAGCCTTTTGAGCATCACACAGGCAGACGAACAAGTTTTGCACCGGTTCCGATCATTTTTATGTTTTTCCCGAAGTCCTTCGTTATTGCAGTAAAAAAGGCTCCCACGTATGTAGCTTATCGTTTGCATGAAAAGTACGCGTTACAGGATTGATTTTCGAATTTCCTTCGCGTCTTTTTACTTTCATCGGTAGATCATGGTTTCCCGAAACTCACTTCATAAGCATTCTTCCGACCTATAAGATCGTAGTCACCATTGTCATAGTGATGTAGATAAAGGCGGCTGCACATGAGCTGGCCAGAGGCAACGTCTAGTGAATCTGTATAGGGATTCTTAAACGAGGAGAAATAATTCAGGATAAAAACTTGAATCAAAGGTCTGATGAGCAGTTATCTCTGCATCAACGGCCATCATGTCATACACACACACACTTATGAAGCAAGGAAAGCAGGCAAACACGTACGCACTCACATGAATACACGCGCGCACACGCATAGTTACAAGTATAGCTAATATCTACCTGTTTGATGTCAACCTTTCAATAAAAAAGTTTATTAGCGCCTGTGACAAAAGTGGAGGGTGGTATTGAAGCACTTATTTCCTTTATGGATCTCGAACGTTGTAGACTACAAAAATTGCCACTTCTGTTGCACAAAGCTATATTAAACGTTGTTAAATTATGTACTTGTTTAGAACATGATGTGAATCAGGTTTGGTCCTCATTTTATCTAAAATGGTGCTCAAGTAAGACCTTAAAACAAAGCCTCAAACAACTGATGCAGAAGGAGCCACCAGTTAATTTCCTCCATTATAATTGATAGATATTAACTAATAACTAAACCTTCTGTGTAATTTATGTCATTAAGGATTCATATTATTTATTTAAGACGTGAAATTGAATCGTTATGATCTGCACATGCTCACATCGACTGCTTGTACATTTCCGGTACGTCTCCGAAAAAAAACACTGACCCGTTTGGGATACATTTTTCTGTCATGAAACATGTGGGTTTTCATCGTTTCAGTTGCTACAATTTTCCATGCTAACGAAATCATTCACATGAGCATTGCTAAAGGTAATTCTGTTGGAAGACATACTGTTCACCTGTTGTTGCTGTTTAGTTACCCAACTTACAGATTCCCTTTTTAACAGAAACATCACAATTGACAGAACAATTGTGATGTTTTCTGTTATGGATGGATGACATGGATGGATACGCGCTTTTGGTTTGGCTTAGGTTATCGACCCAGTCATCTGAACTATGTCGACTTTTCTTTGCACAGTTGATACATTTCGAAGATTTTGTTATAATCTTTCACTACTTTGTATTAATGCTTGACCATAGGAGCTTTTTCGCTGTATTGAATAACGATCCACTTTCAATAATGCCTATCATTTAACTGTTAGAGTAACTTGACTGGCAACGCACAGTAAAAAAAAAATACCGCCACATTTAAATTTCTCTCTCAGATTGAGACAACCTATATACTTGTGCCTCTACATTCTATTTAATGAGGGTCGTATTCTCAATGTGTTACAGTTCAATCGAGCGAGTTTACAATTTAACAGTCGACTGTCGTTAGAGGAAAACGCAGCTTTTATAATGATTTATAAATCACTTGTTTCACGACATCAAATTCGATTAGAAAAGAAATTGTATTGTCTTAATATGATACATAAATGGACTGATAGGCATTTAATATTAATTTAAACCTTAGATTTTGCTCATGATATTGCGATAAGATCTCGTGTAATTTAGTCATTCGACCAATAATTACTCTATACTCGTGAGACTTTCTTATTTATAGTCACACTTATTTACCCCGCCATTCCTAAATCGGCAAAGTATTTGTTGTTGAAGTTCTTTATGGTATTGGCACAGTAACAGAAGGGGCCACGTAAGCGGGATTTGACCTCAATCTCAACTTTAAGCAGATGGTTGCAGTCGGCATTAATCAGCGTAGGCTTGGCCAGTAAAGCTCCTGGTCCCTGATAAATAATTTCTATTAAAACAAAACTATGTTAACCTAAAACGCTCCGAAAAGCATCCTCCAATACTGGAATTTTAGACTCAAATTAACTATCCTAGTGAACGTTATGCTGCCATTCGTGGTAGTCCCAGAAAAACAATTATATAGTAGCAACATCTTATTTTAGCGTTCAAATGAAATGAGTTCAAAGCAAACATAGAGTAGCTAGATAATTAATGCGTTATTATATTATTATTTATGTACTTCATGCACAATCTAGTATGGCACAAAATGAGAGTCTTACAACATAATCTGTACTACTGTTCAGGCGCGACGAATCCACTAGTGACAGCTGTATTTGGCGGTCGATAGAACAACGCCTTGCAAAAACGTAGCTGATACAAGGCACACTGAGTTTTCTTTAGTATAAGTGTGGACCCGAACTGACATCCGTGCTATTTTGTTTAGCACCTGTTATAACTCATAATTACTATCCTTACGACTGCTTCTGTCTCAATAATTACGTGTCTTCCACTTACCGTAAGCAATACTGCTAATCGTTACCGAAAGCTCCGGTTACACTGTACACTTTAATAAAGAATAAAAAAAATGATGCCCACTAATATAGAAGCAGAAAGAAGACTTTAAAATTACTAACTAAAGATTATCTTGCTTCCCCTAGTACAAATGCTCGCTCACTCAAACAAGAACCGTCATTATTGTAAATTATATATATATAAGTTATAGTGGGGCACAAAGTCATACGATCTACCTTTTCTTTTCACTGACGCGTTTATTGATTTCTGAGCTATAAAGGCAGTAACGGTCTCGAATGCTCCATGCAGAATTCTATTTGAAATCGCCCATATCAATAGCGCGTAGTTAAAATAAGAAGCGCCAATGAGAACTGGTTAAAAATTCTTTAACAGACATCGGATAAAAACAATATAAAAACTTACCATTGCAAATTACATACATCAAATATTTCAAACAACAAATGAAAAATAAAAGGTTTGATAATTTTAGCTACCTCGGAACGGAATGAAAATGTCTGGCATCATTTTATTAAATTGGGTTCCACAATTTTTCTAATACAGAGATATAACCAAAATATAAAATCTCCTCCATAAAAATATCTAGTTATAATGGCCGGCGAATACCAAAGAAGCTAAAAATCGTCGAGCCGACTGAATCTCATGTTAGTCAAACATTAACAGGCACACAACACGACCTCTTGAAGTTTCAACTAGCACTAAAGAATGCCTATCCAAACAAATACAATCATGAAAAAAGAGGTCTACTTTCTAAAATTAAATCGCAGTAGTAGTTGTGGTATGGTGAGCCGGTAACTATCGTTTATTTCGGGCTAGTGTTTAGACTTCATCTGAATTACTATGAGTATTTATCTAGCAATTGTACGATCAAAGTTTCTTTTAAGGAACGTAAAGATGGAATGTGCTCATTTGAAAAAAAGTTGTGCTCACTGCAAGTGAAATGTAACAGTATCCTGCATCAACGCACTTAATGCAACCACATACATGGTTTCAATAGAATTTTAATAGAAACATTAATATCTATCGGTTTAAGACGTATTTGACTGTGACGGCAATGGAATATCAAAAAGAAAACCAGATTTTAATCGATATCTTCCCTTCATAGAAAACTTGAATACATTTAGATCAGTTTTTCCATAACACAAAAATGGCATAACCTCCACTTAACGTCTACCAACTGACCTACAGTGTTTGACTCTCTAACCGAAATAACTGCAGCGCGACTGATAAGTTTCTTTATGCCCTAAATAAACACTGAACGACGCTTTATGGTGAATAGGCACCGGGTAACAACTGTCTACACTAGGCATAAACGGTCAATCAAAATCTAGACTAATTCGAACACATTAAGTGAAAATCAATACGTCGCAGGTATGCATACGTGTCTTAACGTAACAGACAAAGCAAAAGCCTAATCTTAGCTTTGCTCAGTTACCCACGACTAGTTTATTGGGTTTGTAAGATTCGAGAACTTAAGTACGCTTTAAATGCGTTTTAAGAAAACATCAAATGCATTATAGTCGATGCTTGTTGTTTGGACAAAAAATCAGCTGTTGGTAACCATGTTTTAGGCTATATAAGAAAACAGCGTAGAAGCGTTTCTCACAATGCACTAAATGATATTTTATGTATAATGTAAGGGTCCTGTTGACTTTAGCGCTAATTAATAAATTTAATAACTTCTGGTAGACGTTCGATGTATACGGTCTGCATAGTATATAAGCAACTCAATTTTTCATGCGTATATTAAAAAAGTAATGTAAAAAGTGATAATAATAATAATAATCAGTAATCATTAACATTTATATAAAATGTAGTACCTTTTTAAACACTGTAGCGTACTAAGTCCCTCTATCCGTATCATCACTAGTAGGTAAAATTTGCAAGTTAAACAAGGTGACACACCTTCCGCAACGACATGCGAAAAAAATACACTTTAAAAAACCATGATATGGTCAACTGAAAAATTGCTCACTTTAGAATAACCTATTAGATATCGAACACGAAAATTTCAACAAAACCAATGCTATGATATATGCCGTGACGCTGTGATATTTTTCTTTTCATATATATAGCATCATTGTAGTACAATTGTATCGCCGTATAATCGAGTTTTATTATTTAACGTTTGCAAAAACTGACGAATGTCTAAAATTTTAATCTATATTATTCATAGCTAAACAAAAATCCTTTTATACCTAAAGAAAAGCCACTCCAATCAGCACGATGCAATAACGTTATCTTCCCTCTAATATCCTACATTTGCCATACTGGTAATCATCATTCTAATTCGCCTGAAATGAAACGCTATAGGTAATATAAGACCAGATGTAGCCAAACAAATAGGACTTATCGCAACTTCTATGACGTGTACTAACAGGAAACCGTCTCACCTTACAATTAATTAACTTTTCTGTCGCCCTTGTGTTCCAGTAAAATAAAAGTCACATCGCAGTCGCTCTGCGCTGGATCACGTCAGCATTGGCTTTCGAACAAGTTATTCGTTTCTAGTCACGCATGTTCGTAAGGCGTAAAACGTCACCGACAAGCTCACTCCGACTGATCCACAATCCGTCGCAGTCAATTTTAGTATCGGTTGGCGTCGTTGAAGCTGGATGCAGCTGACACGTTTACATTAGCATCAATGATGACGACGTCGAACGAAACAACAGTCAAGTACTAACAATATTCGTGGTCCAGAACACAAAGACACGTATGTTGCGACGAAATTCTACTATGCTGTCGATGCTTTCCACGTACAAAAAACACACAGGCTATTATAACACTCAGTATTTTGAGACAATACACCCGCAGTGCTTACAGGTTGGAACAAATCCCAAACACAGGCACAGCACAGACGATTATATGAACGGATCATTGCTTTGATCGTCTGTACGTAGAGCCAGGCATAGAACACTTCAGTTCGGCCTTATGCCTGCGGCAGGAAAAACTGATTCGCTGCGAAACAGCTGTGTGCTGGTAGTAAACAAGGTGGTGGATCGCTCCACCGACCACTGAACAGCCTAGCTATCATTAGTGGATTCATTGTCCCGGAAACGCGCTAGCCTACGACATACTAAATAACTGAGGATTTTTTTGTATAAAGAGCTCCGTGCATAAAGTGCAGAGGGAACAGCTTTACAACAGAGTGACACAAAGTTTTTTAATTCTAGTAACTTACATAGAAAAACAGATTACACATGAACGGATCTAGTTTATCGCGCATCCACGCGCAGACAACGTCCGCGCTCCTGTCAGCTGTAGATAAAAATTGCATTGTAAATAGCGGTGAACAGTGGCATGCATTTGTAAGAGTGAATTGTTACGTTGATTTTTGCAGAAAGAAACCACAGCCGTATACATCTGCTCGAACGGAAAAACGTCCGTGTAATAATATTTGCAGGATGACCAACCATATGATGTGTATGATATATCATATGACCTACGCGTACTCGTCTTATGATTTGCTAAATGAATAAAGACACCATTTTGTCATATTTTGCTTCGAATAGTACGAGTAAGTTATTTATTTTAATTGTAGTACGTTATTGTGGGTTCTATGTGTATGGCTGATCAGTAAAGGGGGAAACGGTTCATTAAAATCGCACGTTTGTTCACACGTTGCTTTTACTAAAAAAAAATTGTTTAAATGTGCGGTAAAAGATGAGCTGTGCTACAGAAGAATAAGCCAGGCAACTTGATTGTATTGTAAATTATAATTTTCAATAACTGAACTATTATTTTTTCCTGAGTATTGCGGAGTATGCTGAAAAAACTACTACAAAATTATGAAATTTTGGGGAAATTTCGTTGACCCAGGCCTTATTAAAGACTGCATAGAACTGCACGATTTCCTTAAGATATCAGACATTTCCGATTGAAAACCAAAGTCTAAAAGATGTCCTAGCTGTTCAATTCCGTCTGAATTGAATCGACAAAATTTTACTTTCGTGGAATAGCGTATCTGCGAAGTCGGTCATATATACCCCAGCGGACCATTTAGCCTCGTGTGTTTCCGCGTAAAAGTAAAAATGGCCTATGTTCAGGTTAATACTAGAACTGAAGATGTGTCAACTAGGCAAGGGAAGGTACCATCTCTAACAATCCACTATACAATGGAATAAGGAAAGGATCAGTTACTAGGAGAGAAGACACATTATTTGAAGGGTTATGTCTTTAAGCTAAAGGACAGATAGGCTTAAATCGTGACTGTTAAAGTTTATTTTAAATTGTACTATTTTCCCTGGGTAAGTTATGCATTGATGCGTCTTTTGACAGGATTCAGCTAGCAATTATATGCTTTAAATAAGACATAGCGCTTACTTCATTTCTATGTAATTAGAAATATGCAAACTTAGTACATTGATCTCCACTTACCATGATGAATGGTATTCACTTGGCATTTTTGTTGCTCTCTATTGTGTATGCTTATTTATAGACGTTGTCTTCCAAAAGTCTAAAGTCATCGACTGATGTGTTCCCGTATACGCACTTAACTCAAAGGCATACTGAAGACATGCACCCATGTTGAAGAACTTTCACCATCCTCTTGGTGTCAAGGGTTGGGTAACGGCCAAAACCCAGGGTTCTACCTATTCTATACTTTACGTTGGTGAGAAGTCTCCTTTTCTTTCAATGACAGTTCACATGCTAAATTACGCAGAACATTGGCGTTTCAGGTCATCTCATTTAGGGACCGTCTCGAAGAGACAGTGTCCGACCTGGGTGGAATTTTAATCAACTGAGAAGTTACTGAACAAATGCGAAGACCTTAGGCTAAAATCATAATTATGTACTGTACTCCCAGAGCTATGAAAGTTTATTTTGATTATGTATTTTCGCTAAGTATACAGATTTGTACTTGGAATACTTGAATAAATAATCGGTCTGTTTCTTCTAATCTTTTTTTATGGAGATAACTGATAGACTCATTGGTTGAAACTCCACAGTATGAAGCATAAAGCACATGCTTATTGGATAAAACCGTTTACTTTGTTTAGGCTGAACTCGATATGGCTTCTAAAACTGATTCGAAAGCAATGTCAAAACGCAGGAAAATAATCAGCCCACTAATGAAACCACTCAAATATTACGACGGAATCACAGGAGCCCAAACACCCGACCCAAATTCGAACCACAGCTGCTTTTATACTCCATCGAAAGTCGAAGTATAACATCCTTGTGCAATAACTAAATAATAACCAAATGATTTTCCATCCTCTAGTTGTATATACACTACTTGCTCTTTATTATCGCTATAGCGGCACAACTCATAAATATCAACACTTTTTAATTAGCCGCCGTATTCGTCAGCCCGCTCGATCAATGTCGTTGTTGGTTTTACCATCAGTCAGCACTTGTAGCTTAAAATTTTACGTTTACTAGTATTTGTTTGTTTTGCATACCAAATATTCATCTGTTACTTTTGTCTCGTCCGTTATGTACAACGCTTACAGTAGACACAGTTGTTATACCCTTTCGACCCTCAACCGTATATGCCTTCTACTTTCGAAATCAATACAGGAATCATCAACATTACCCAAACTTGATTTGGGATCCGTGTCACTTCATGGCATCAAGCCGTGTTTCTTATAATAGTAATAACCATTAACGTTCGTTTTGTCGCTGATAACTCATGTTACAGTTATGATCGGCCCGATTACCAAAATGCACTTCTTGGGACCGTTCTGCTCTCCATCGCTAAATGCTATAAACCATGTTTTTCATAAATCATATTTGATGTTCTTTTTTTATTTAATACATCACTCCTTTGTGAAGTTAAGTGATCTACGCATTTTTTTGTAACACAGCTGTCATTTTTTATTGTACAGTAAGTATCTTCTTTGTTGTAATAAACAAGCATACAACTAAACACCAAGCATTATAAATGCTAATATTTCAACATCTTAGTTATATTTAGTTTATTCCTTGAAACATATACAAATCGAAACTAGCTTATCTGCAAATAACCAATACATGGCTCAGAATAGGCAATATGAAAATGCATATGTATATGATTTTTGCTTAGGTTGGCATATTTAGCTCAGTTAATATTAATCAATTCCTTGTGCTTCTCTTTGGCTATAAATAGAGTTAAAGCAAGATGCCGATCGTTTCAGCGTGTCCTTATTACGCCGATTAGGTTTCGTTTTGCGCTTAGAACCAAAACTTTGTTGCAGTTATTGATACTTTCTATTAACGGACTTTTTTCTTCTGTCCCGTAGCTCAATTTCTATCGAGGTGGTTTTGATCTTTCATGTTAGACTTTTGTTCAGGGCTGCTAGGCTCCTTAGAGCAAATATTAACTTCACTACGACGCCCTGATCCGTCACAAGGTTCTCGTAGCTGTTCATTTCTCTACCTTGTAGTGCCAGAAATCTATGTATTCGTTTCCATTCTACTGTCACCTCTCGTTGGGTATAGTCGCTCTGAGGAATCGAAAATACTGAGCAGGTTCCTTCCAAATGATTCTGCATCATGACCAATCTGCTGTTCTTCTCGTGCGCAACCCTTGCGGACCTTGCGGTGAACGGGGTCCTGCGAATCCTCCTAAGGACGTCAGGCTTCCTATTGAATTGGCCTGCAACGAAAATAAAAGCTTACACACGGAGAACATTTTTTCGCTAAAATCTTATGATAAATTGTCAAATAATTTATTGCAACTTTTAAAAAGTTTGTTGGAGTCCAGAAGCTTACATTAATTTGAATAATTGAATGAAACTTAAACCTTTGGAAAAAATGTAATACTTAGATCAGCGAAGCCTTTAGATGAAATAGAAAATATATAGATATATAAAACGTATAGCTTAACTGAATAGATACACGTTTGGTCTCAATTATTTTTATCGAAAAATGCAACGATGCGCGGTCTACCTGTTGGACATGTTGAGTAAAAAGCAGCGGATAGTAAAGTTGATGTCCGTGATCCCAGGAATGGAGACCACTTTCTGCAGGGTTATAAGTTATCATAGTCGTGTTTCGGTAGGGATTACTTAGACTGAGATTGACCGGGCCGCTCGAGCCCATATTGATACTAGGGACTGGTGCCCCTACTGGCCTAGCTCGTGCAAGCGCCGATGGCATACTTTCGCCGACTGCAAGCGTCTGCTCAAGGTAGAGATCAAAGGCGAGCTCCACGCGTGTAGCTCCTTCTGTTACACCGCCCACAGCATAAAGAACTCCACACACGATAAACATCTCGCCAACCTAAAAGCAGTGGGATGAACAGATATCATAATAAATCAGCTCACAATAACGATGATAGATCGCACGGCGAAATCGCAACGGTTAGCTTTAGGATCTTCATCCAATGGAAACAGAAAAGTGGCCGGATTCGTATGAAACTACAAGAAAAAAGGTCTAGCATGAATGTATCTCGTAATCAAGTTAAACTTAATATATAGTTTAAAATTGTTATTTTTTTCACATGTTACAATTAATGGCGGTGGCTTTTTATAGGTATAATATTTGATAATGAAAAGAGAAGCCTTTCTTAATTAATGCCAAGTAGTAGATTTATGTATTCCTCTCGGCGTTTATACTTAAACAGACACAGTTATCTAGTCGAATTGATCTCTAGTTCATGAATCAATGACTTCATGAATTATTATAGAAAAACCATACTGACCTGCCGATGGTCAAGTGTTAAGTTCCAAACTCGTTCAACTTTCATTGAGGATTCATCAAACTGGAATGCAATACAAACGGTATGAACAGATAAATGTAGGCACAAATGTACTACTGCGGAAAGAACTCTTCGATTTAGGAATTCAAAACAACTCACTCATTACGTCGGCATAGGTTATATAAAAAAATCTAATGAATAATGAATACTTACGAAATTCAATGGAATATAGTATAATAGTGTGAGATTTTTCAATTACCTTAATCATCTGAAGCTACTTTGAGATTACGCACCTCTCTTCTGGAAAGACTCAAACTGTTCAGAGAAATCTCAAGAGATTTGAGATACTAATTACGAATATATTGCCTGGCATAATTCTTTTACAGCCAACGTAACACGTTTTTGTCGTATGTGATATTATTTTATGCATCCTAATCCACTCTTTTTTCAGCTGACTTACCTTGAGCACCATTGTGTTAGTGGACTTCTCGGAAGCGTATACCGCCCAGAGGCCGTTTTCGTCTGCCATAACATCTACATGACTCCGCCGCGTTGAGTATAGCAGCCTGCAAAAGTTATAAAACGGAAAATTAGTATCTGAGTGTTAGCTAAAATAAAATATAGTAGGATTGAAATTGGCGAAATACTGCAACAATTAGAAATTGAATGCCACCTTAGGGTGGCTCACGCAAACAGCATTGGCTTATGATGACATCCCGCCCAATTGACGGAAGTCTTGAACCCTAACGACGCAGGACAAGGTGCTTTAATACAGAGTTCCATCCACCACATAAATACCAACAAGCTTTAGTATGGGGTGTCTACAGTAAACACAGGTCAATATTTGGACATTTTCTCACATTAATTTTCTTTCAATGTATTACTTGTATGTAGACTATAGTTATTTCAGATGGTGTATATACTGCTGCTTTAAACTCGAGTTCAACTAGCCATGAAGATATGAAGTTAGCCGTTTCCGCTTATCATTTCCTTACAATAATCATCTATATTTTCTTCGTAAGACTCTCCCTAAGGGCAACTCTGACGTTTCCTTTGTTTGCATAGATGATTAGCGGTTTTTCTAGTCTCTACTCATTCATCCTCTGACACAACTTGGTTTCTTCCTTGGCTGTGCTTATAATTATGCATATGTGTGTGTGGCATACTGGCCATTGATCCGTAGCCAAGCATACACCCCCCCCCCCCCCCAATAAGGTTTTCATTCACGATTGTTCGTCCTCTCTTGAACATTGCTACATAGGGTCAGCGAACGTTGGTTTTGATCACTTTGTATGCAGCCGCTTCTATCACCATCGCCATGACAATGTTGACTAGGACCCTGTAAATCGGGAGAATGCTTATGAGATGAGGTTCACGAAACTATTATCTAGAGAAAGTAAGAAAAGAATAAAAAGACGCGAGGGAAATTCGGAGGTCGATTCAGTAACCCGTACTATGTATGCAAGTGATGAGTTACCTTGGCGAGAGACAGCCTTCCCGTATAATAATGAGGAAATCAGGTAGGAACATGGAAGCGGCCAAAATATGCTTGCACATTAAAACTGTCAGTGTGGCCGCGTGACGCTCAGCCAAAGGTATCCAACAGACTACAGCCAGGACCCTGCCACACTCAAGCTGTATAACGGGGAGCGTCTCTTCTTAGGTTCTGCGCACCTTCAGAGTATGTCCTTCAAGTTTTCCGTTGCTATGAAAGTATAGAGTTTTTCTCAGGATTTTCGAACCCTTTCTGTAGCTTCATTATGGAAAAAGGAAGTCGCTGAAAGTCGGAAAGTAGCGACAGTGGTCACGAATAGCTGTGCGAATATTAACCTTATAGTAGCGATATACCGAGAATTCATACGATGTTATTCTCCAGTTTAAAAAAAAAGGTTACGACAGGTCGTACCGAGTAACTCTGGTAAGTAGTGTACTCTCGGCGGATCTCACAGACAATGACCTAATGTACATTTTTGGTCTCGAATACTCATGACATCTAATCAGTTTAAATTCAGTAACGATTCACTGCTTGCTGATCTGTTAATTGGTCATAGCCAGTTATTATCAAAGGCCAATTATACATTTTTCTAATAAGTAAAGAAAATTTATTTTACGGAATTGGAATCCTTATACGGTGAAGAGTGCATAAATCCCTATTTAGTGAATTATAGGTTCACGTTGATGCCGCCACCAGCATGGAAGGCATTTTTATTGACTGATAGGAGGACGCCCACGGAAACTTACCTGGACGATCGGCCAAACGCTACATCATCAATGTCAAGAGCGGCCGAAGTTTTATTTTCAAGATCGTATCGCACAAGGCTTCGAGTATTCATCTGATGGTAATAGAACACGTTATTATAGACTACGTGAGAATTGCCTCGAAACGGATACGGCAGAGCATGCCTGTAAAACAATACAAATAATTAATTATATAATTGGTTCCATTTTAGAACTGCTTAGGTTCTCCATCCTTTCTATTTCACCCTTTAATGACCCGTTCACGAGGTAAACAAAAATCTAATCGCTTTTAGGCGAATTAATCTATGCTTATCTGAAAAGAGCAAGCACTTTTAATATTTGCATTGATTTTTGTTTTTGTGGTATTGAGCATGCACCGATATATAAATATCTATATTTTAATGTTACCATTCAGCGTCTTCTAAAATATATTCAAGTTATACTACACACGAAAGTAATCTATCTTTAAGGATTTGTTATTTTACCGATACATAATCCTGAGTTGATCCGCCAGAGTGGTGCGCGGTGAAGCTAGCATTTTGCAAGACGCAGCCCATATAATTAGTAAATAGACATTTTGGAAATGTTCAAGCAGAACCCGTAGAGTATTGACATCTATTTCGGTAAACTACATAGTTGATTCATATAGTCAGTTTACCATATATTTAAGCGAGCAAAATTAAAGAAAGAAAACTAGAAAATAGAAAAAAAATTGTAGATGATAGAGAACTAATTCAAACAAATTGGATCCTATTTTGAACCCAGGGTCCCAAGCCTTTTGCTGCGAATGCTATATGTTATCTGCTAGCCCTATGACTCAGCGTAATCTGTCGTGTCGTTGATGAAAGCAGCTGTCCAAGACCTGTATTCATCTACACCTAGCGATACGCCTTCTAGAGTACACACAACTCGTCCACGTGTTCAGTGTACACGAACTTGCTTGATACTACAAACCGTGTTCTTCAACAGTCGTATCTGACTACCGCTGGAATACTGATGATAGCGTAAAGTATGAACGATTTCTTATTCTATCAAGTATTGGTGGACTCTCGTTACTTGTTTAGGTCGTGATTTCCAACACCTCACATTGCACCTTCGGTAATGGCAACAAGTGTTAAAATCGGCTTTAACGCCTTTGCATTTTTAACACTTACTCCATCTCCTAGCCTGTCTTCTTCAATATGGAGCCCAGATACCTGAACAAATATTCCATAACTTGTAGTATTAATAATGATAATTGCGCTCTACGCAAGCTGAAAAAATGGTAAGCAATTTCCCAAACTGATCACATTCATACTATCGAACAACATACAATGAATTCTCTAATAATGATTTTCCTTGACTCCAATCGACGAGACCTATATAAAATACGTTTATGTAGTATGTTAGAAGGTCAACCAACTTTGCTTGCGGTTTCTGGCATAAGTTACTCCAATTAGCTAATCCCCTTGATGCTGCACTATACTTGAAGTATTTATTTTACAAAAAGTTCTTTTGGGAAACGATCATGCGTCTTAAAATTTTGCAGAATTTATAGGATTTATCTTTTCAAAATTTACCTTTTTTTTTTTTTAATAATAGACTATTATTCTTTAGTTTATTTTTCACTGCAAATTTATAAAAAGATATGCACCTGATGCAAATATTACTTCTTATTGTTCTGCGTGGCTTTTTGAATACCTATGGTGTAAATAATAAATCCTTAAAGGATACCCGATGACTAAAACACGGTTAACTCGATTGAAGTCTACTCAAGGAGCCTGCCTGTATGGTTCCTTTAATTTTTTCCAGTATTCCATCGTACCATATTTATAAACATTGATGAAGTGCATTCTTTTTAATCTTTACTAAGCTACAAAATACCTTTACTGATCTATTTAGCGAACTCAAATGATTTTTCAATTTGATATCCTTAGGAGTACCATTTTTCGTGCCAAGTTTTTATTAGTCGCTGTAAAACAGATGGTTTGTTTCTTACTGAAAAGTGCGTGCCGTAGGACAGAATAAAACCTGGACTTTACCTTTTCGCAAGCTTCCCGTTGACAAATTCAAGAAGAGTATTTGGATCGTTATCCAATGTGACGAATGATCTGATAAATAAGGATCAAACAAAAAATTGTTATCTGATTTATGCAAAAGAGGTTTAAGCCAGCGAGCATTCTCTGATCAAGCAAGTAACAATTCAATAGTACGTACGGCAGAAAAATAATACGTCTCTATAATATCTCTTTGGAGCAATACAGTACGTTTTGATATCGCATGATAAATATAGCTTGATCAGAATATTGATTTAACGCAGTATGAAAACTACTTACTTGGCTAGATGTTTACCAGTACTAAAAAATTCTGCTACATTTGTTTTTAGTTTCAGCAAAGCTTTATTTCCGGCCCGCCATATGAGTGCGACATATGGGTAAGGCGTAACGGATAAACTTAATCATTTACGACGTTCGAATAAAGCACTACTCTTAGACAAATGATTGACTCAAGTAATAGTAACCGGCCTTAAAGTGTGCAAATGCAAAAAATCCCAAAGCAACTAATATTTTTATACTAACAAGACTGCTATAAATTTCTAATATGTTCAATTTAGATAAATTACCTTATTTAACGAGAGTACATACAAGGCTGAATATTTAAGCTAAGCCTTGAAGAATGGTTAATAAAAATATAAAGGAAGCTCTATATTAAAAATATAGAATAGCTTATAATTGCTTATCGGTTACTTTGGGTATCTGTGCCGATTTCTTTCATGCTTGCTGATTTTCTGAGTGACCAAGCTTCTCTGTTTATGGTACGAATAAAGCCACTTGCTCTAAGTTAGTGCTACAACAAATTTTTAATCAAGATAAGCAAGTGTTGATACCTAGAGGCATTAAAAGCTTTCCGAAAACAATCGCGGCCCCAGCCACCTTCAGCCTGTCCTCCTTGACGAACTAATACAGGTTTGCCCACTTTAGACACAAGCCGTCGGCGAGCGCATTCTGAAAGCAAAACAGAACACGTGCTTGTTAAATACGACGAGCTAGTATGAGGCAGGGAATCTTTAAACTAACATTAAAAATCTCTATGAGGTTTCCCCTAAGTAATGTGTAAAGCGATGGAGACACTGGCATCGTTATATTTCAGACATGGAATCGTCATTACAGAAGTACTTCGGCTCTAGTCGGCATTGCGTCGAATTGTCTTGCACGATCTGGCATTAGCTTTCAAAATATACTTGTTATTTTTTCGTGTGCATATAAGAATTCGTGTTTGTTGAACTGCGTGCATAATAATAATAGCTGACTAAGTAATTTTTACGTGCTTTTGATCTTCTGTAACAACGGAGGGGCGATTAAACGGGTGAAAAAAACCTAGAAAAATGCATATAAAAATAGCAAAATTGATGAAAAACATATGGGTAATGTTGCTGAATATTTCCAGCTTTCTACAAGACGGCTTATATTAAAGAATATTACCGGATACGTTATCATTCGTGTAAAATATCATAGACATCTCCCAGAAAAGATCCGGCTTACGCCAGTGGCGCTATGGATGACGAATCTAGCGGATGAGCCGTTGCCAAAAAGGTTCAGCCTTTAAAAGAAGAAAAAATAAGAATTTTTAAGAAAAAAACGGATGCCGAATGTACCGAACTTTTCTCGACATTGGCAATATGCGCATAGTCAGACATCAGTAGTCTGGCCACAACTAGGATAAGTATGACATGTCTATGCGATCTCTGTAGGCTGCCAGGTTTTAAACTACTTGCGAAAAGGTGGACTCAAAAACGTACTGCCATCTACTAACCATGCTGCTGATGATTGTGTAGCACGATTTTCTGTATATGATGAGATTAAAATCCGCTCGGTTCCTGTCTGTCGGCTGCATTTACCCACTCGCCCAACCGAGTACTCCTGCAAACCCCTTCTGTTCAATCTCAATCTTTTCGCTCGCCTCTCGTTTCTCTTCCATTAACAAAGGGGAATGCGACTCTCACTATCAACTCCGAATGAGGGAATACACTAATAACTTAATAATAGGAAATTCACGGGAGCGTAACGACAATGATAGTGATTGATATGCATGTGATCTGGCGCCGTTAACCATATCGCACGCTGCCGATATCGAGGGTGCCGCGTTTTGACTAGAGATTCTGCATTCTAGACGTGTGAGTTGGCACTTGGACATAGGCATACGGGTAGCGTCAGAACGTCCAGATCGTATGCACTAGATAATGCGAAGAAAGGTTATGTTCAATAGTGATTGAACAATCGAACACGCAAATATGTATTTGTGCGGGCCTTCAGCGTTCCAAAAAGGACGAGACTAGTCTTTATCAAAACGATGACAGAATAAGGAATCGCGAAAAATGAAAGGCGCGATTAATGACATTTTCAATGATAATCTATAATATGTTTTATCTTTCCGATCTATACCGATTCTGTATTTACAATATGCTGATGACAGTAATTGATTCCAAACACGCTGTTGCTCTTATCAAACCAAGTATGTTAAATAATTTTACTCAATGTAAATTGATATTATACTAAGTTTGAAGTTACTTGTCAGAAATGGGTTATCCCGGAACCGAGTGGCTGCCACTGCTCGACTCAGGTTGTAACGAGCGATACCACGTAGGTGTAACATTTTCCCACTTTCACCTATCAACACCGAGGCTCATAGGCATTACTATCCGGAGTCATTGATTTAATATTTCGTTTGATACTAGCGACGTGTGTAATTTATTCAAAGCATAAAGTTTTCTCAGGGTGAAAGTCTGAGCACTCGAAAAGCTAATACAAAATCCGGCAGTTGGGTCTAACTAAAGCATAGCAGAAATGCCTAAATTCTTTTCGTTTCGTGCGCGAGGTGAAACACGAGTAATGTTTTCCCTTCATATTAAATGGCGTTGTAGCAAGAAACGAATCTTAGCCGTATAGTCCTCGCATTTTTTCCATTACATCGTATCGCATCTGTTCAGCTTTATATAGTGTTAGTCCTGTCAGAAAGCAACCTGTGCAACAAAGAAGATAACCATTTTTCAGCTGCGTACAAAGTATAGAACATTTACCACCAGCGAAGACAACGCACCTTTCACCGTATATGATTTGCAATACCTCACTTTAAATGACCTCATGTGAGGTACCTCGCGGCCTTCAGCCTACAAATTTGCTGGTATTCAAGTGACACTACTCGCATATGTATATGCAAAGGAAAACGAGGTGTGATGAGGCTAAATGCCAGACTTTCAGTGGTCGTAGATGCGCGATCAATAGAGGGTGGTATCCACACATTGTGTCGGTGATAAAAAGCGCCTGGCTGATTGGTCATGTGTCCATTCAACTAGATGCTCGACTGATTGCCTGCTCCATGACGAATCGCGAGCGGAAAAAGCGGTTCCATACCATTATACGGTTTAATCAGAGAGCGTTTAACCTTTACTATGGCGGCTGATATCAACAACCAGCACAGTGTACTCCGGTATCCATTATTAGCATGAGCTTTATTCCAGCCAGTAAAGCTAAACCAAACGCGGTTTATTTCTGTATAGCGGTCAGCAAAATTCCGTAAATTTGAGTTCTTTGGAACTTTTTCTAAACATCTTATGAGATTCTACGATAACATATTTCCAGGACCTGTCCTACACGTTTTGCGGTGAGATTCTTACTACAGCCGAAAAATGATGTAGTATATATAGGGAAGAATTATAGTGGCTATCCTCATTTTTTTAGCGGCTCCACACCATTCAGGAACTAAAAGAAGTACACCCGTCCAGTTCGGAGCACAACAGCGTTCTTTATTCCCCTATCAAAAATGAATTACTTAGCTGCATAGATTATCAGTGGTTGTGTTCAAACGTAAGAGTTCATTTGAGACAAAACGTTGGCTCAGTTTCTACACCTTTCGGCCTCAACAGAAGCATCGAATGCGGAATTCGAACCAGCATATAAAGGCCCAATAATAAATAAGACAGACATTTTTTATGTTAGATTCTAGGTGTAAACACTAAATTTTAATTTGTTCAGTTGACAGAACATTTCGCAGAAAGTCTGTCAGAAGTGCCTCATTATCTTGAGGAACAAACGCGAGTAATGGTTGATATTAGTTGTAGCATAAAGACTACCTAAAGGCTAACTAAATTTTACGGAAATTTTATACAGATGTTTATATTGTTGGATGAATTCCGTTAAGCTTTGTCATTATTACTTACAATTAAAAGGTAACCAAAGGGAATTATATCTTAGTTCACATAACACTCTTTTAATTGACCCGCCTGGTTTTTCCGTTGGCGCGGCATCATTCAAAACAAAGATGGCGCGCTGCGCTCTTAGGAATATGTGCGACTGTTAAGAACGGTTAAGCGACTAGTTACAGGCCGGTTCCCGTTGTGCAAAAGAAAAGCAATATTATTTAGTTTCATTTAGGATAGCGTGTGTAAGTGGCTGTGTCGTATTGTCGTAATACCCTTAAAGTGATGGAGTTGTGTCAGATTGAGAATACGAGGAGCCCCATAATCGAAGTATTTTGCAATAATGGTTCTCCTCTCTTTTTTCAACAGTAGTGTGTTCTGTAGTACAATGTCAACGTCAAATAATCATAATAAAATTATCTTTGCCTTTATGTCAGTTTGTATTAATTCCTTATTCTTAGGGTCTCTGTTTTGTCCTGTGTTTTCCCTTTTTTAATGACAAATGTGTGTACCTTCCGCAATTTCCAGTTTAGTTATTTGTTGCTCGCTGAGTATACCTATTAACATTATGTCAGTATGTCATTTTTAGTAGGTTTATCTCGGTCAATCTGACGTCTGTCTTATTATAACTGTTGCCTCCACGATAAAGGATGTTTACAGTATTGTTTGACAACATATGCAGATTTTAGGGTGTGCGTGTATTGCGCTCTCATTATCATCTGAAATTATCGCAATCAAGAAAATAAGGTGTCATCCTCTACTTGTCATATATGACCAATTTTCTCCTGGTTCAGTATCGACTTATTCAATAGAAATGCAAACTGAATCGTGGATTCATGGGTTTTTGTTTAGAACTATAAAGAAGCGTCCAGGTTTCAGAAGCAGGGCAAAGTGTGAATGTATTTAACTGTAGACTGTGTAAATGTACTCAACATCAATTGAACAGGTAAGAAAGCTGCAATTTTCATTTACTGTTTGTGACAGCAAAAATTGGTAGTCAGAGAAACTGCATATAATAAAGGAGGACTTGCTTTAGCTTGTATACTAACACTTAGATATTTTTTTTGTATTTATCAATTTACAGCACTATTCGCCGTGGAGGCCTCCAGGATGCTGTTGTTTCAACAGGGCCTCTGGAAAGCCTGTGCGTATCCACAGCGGTAATGGGATATGCTTATCTACAAAGAAAGCAGTTTTCATCCGTGGTTCTCACAAAGTAAGTTTAAACTTTCACCCATTTAGCTCATTGCACCTCTAATGGTCCTCGTAACCCAACAAGCTTAGAAAAAATCTGCCGTTCAAACCGTAGTGATGTTTCCGTGTCTGATCAAACTGTTCTGCTCTTCTTTATTTTAACCATTAGTTGATGCAACTACCCGTAACGGAGAAACCATTGTCTAGAATGTAATCTTCTTACACCTAGTTCTAATTATTGTCTTGTTCATTTGTGCTGTTTTGCAGGTCAAACTAATGTATGGCCGTAATCTACATTCAAGCTGCGGTTATCGTATCGTTGATGGCCAAAGCTATGGGTAAGCTGTTCTTCAGACAGCTTCGCCTAGCCAAGATCGAGGTACACTTGCTAAGAAAAAAGTATCAAAGTTATAATCGGACGCTGTTTTCCCGCACTTACGCATTTACCGGCCCATTAGCAAATATAATGCGCTAATCGTCTCCCCTGTCACTTTTAATGTTACCAGTTTTGACGCTATATTTGTGATGCGATGGGAGAACAGATACACTCCTGCATCAACACCGCCCCAGGACGTTTTAGAAAGTTCGTAATACAATGTTTGGTGTGTAATTTCAGCATAATTCCATCAGAGAGAGTGGTACGCTATAACAAAAACACGTTTATCCTTTACAATATTCCGAGATGATTTCTCGCCAAAATTTATAACCCCCTCTTATTACATCTCCTCCTAAAAGTGAGTAGACGCAAGCAAACTGCTACGTTGATTGAACTCTTTCATTTGAGTACTACTCGAGGAAATAATCATTATCATGTATGATCATTCCATGATGGTATCCATGGGCATCATAATACTGAGTATTAATGGCGTTGATATCGTGCCTCAACAATGAAAAGGGTTCCCACTATTTAGCCGAGGACCGAGTTAACTTCATTGAGCGAAGCCCAAATATTTCTTTGTTGTTTTACGAGTTTGTTATGCGTTTGTTCGTGATGCCTACTTCAGTGTCGCGATAGCTGGACCCTTAAAGAGTTTTTTGACCTTTAAAATATATTACGTTTTTTGTATATCCTGCGCATCCACTATTATTATCATTATTAATTAATATTAATAATAATAGTAATTTTATTATTGCTATAGTTATGGTAATATAACTTTTTTTGATAACAAATTTTTAATAACGGAAAACTACAGTATATTGTTAACACTCTGCTACCTATAACACTCTTAAAGCATGTTGTTTTTAGACCCTATATAATAGATGTGTATGCTATAGTCAATAGTTGCATCAAATTCATGGGTCTCGGATAGATGTCAAGCAAATCTGAGCGTTTTGAAGAAGACGCTTTGAACTATTGGATAGATTCTATAGACAATATTATTAGCAGATTATCCATAGTTTTGCCCGTAGTAATGCTCTTTTTATTTTTCGTGAATGCAAGTGCAGGTGGTTTTCGGTTTCGAGAATGCGATCCTTCTTTTTCCTGTTTGGTATATACTAATAAAATACGTTTTACAGTCAATCGATTCTCGTGCTGAAGCCCAGTAGAAGATTAAGGTCGGGCTCCTTCTTTACATCAAACATGATGAGCTCGTCTAAGATAACATATACCACTCGATCTGTTTTGGACTTTTCTAGCATAGTATTATGGCGTGACGTGTTCTCTAGTGCGATGATTATAGCTCAAGCATTTGTTGTGAAAGAGATTGGTTATTTTACTCATTTCTCCTTCTGTCGCCCGCCTCCGCTAAAAGGATGTCCGCTTATTTTGCTTCTCCGTACAATATACTACGCAAATCCAGTGAAATTGCAGACAAGCATTATATTTCCACTGCTCGTGGAACTTGCTTTCTTAGATATTGCCTTACGCTCGTCATGCTGCGTTTGATACCTTCCCGTTGTTACCTGGGTCTATAACGTGTCTGCCTAAGCCTATTTTAAACTGCCGAAATATGGTTTGTTATTTAACAGGGTAGCCGTACACTTCCCAAATTTGGATGCATTCAGCTCCCCTTTTGTGGGAGCAACCAGCAAATAACGACAACAACAAAGCCTGGGGATTTTGTTTTTACCACATATTTTTTATTTTAATTTTGAAGTTTAAAAATTACCTAAAAAGTAAATGTAGTTTTTGAATAAATATCCTAGTCGATGATATATTAACTCTCTTTACAGAGCCGTTGTCACTCATATGTGTTATTTTATGCTAAGGTTGCAGGGCCTGTTGGCCCTGGAGCGCCTTCATCTGGCGGACTCAACAAGGCCAGTACAAATCAAACTGGGGGCTAAGGTGGAAACATTGCTCCCGGAGACGTCAGCGGGGTCGCGACACCAACTGCATCCACAGTAATTCCACCTCGATCACCGTTTATGTTTCTATTCGCGCTGTTGCTACCACCGCTTCTACCGATCATTCCGGATGGACTCAACCTCGGCACGCTATCAGAAGGCGAATTTAGTCCGATGAAGGGCAATGATTAGCTTGCCATTGAAGCTCGAATTCAGCGTCTTAGAAATATTCAAATTTTAGTCTATGCTGCTGTTACGATGATGGTACAATACAATAATGGAACCACTGTTGCATCAGCAAATTCGCAACCTGCAGCAGCACAAGAGGCATCGACCTGATACGTAACCGGCTAGCACTAGAAATCCAAGTGCTGCACCGAACTGCAGCAGCAACAACAGCAGCGGGCACAGGCAGGCTCTCCGGCGGGGTCCACTAATGCTATGCAGTCAACAAAGTCTTCAACGTCGACCAATAACACGGTAAAATACATTATATTGTACAGCAAACATAACGTTCAAAGCTTAATGTCAAGAGCATTCTGAGCGATACAAAACACAGGTCATAAAATTTGGAAGATGAATGGAAATTCTGGAGAATCGGTGTGAGTCTGCAGTTCCAACCTAACCCATAAAGAGGCATGGTTGCTATTAAAGACAATTCCATGTACTATGAATGTTCCCTACTACTTCGATTACCTGTTCGTCGTTACAGCACAGTTTCGTTGGTCCAAGCTATCAGAACTGAGTTATTCCTATTGTCTTTATGTCTAGGCTTCATTCGGCTTTTTTTTGTTTAAAGAGTTTTGTAAATTTTTAACATCGCGAAATTCTAATACAATCGCTTACATTTATAAATTAACCGAAAGAGACGTGAAATATCCCATTATGAAAATTTCTCATTTCACCTATTCCTCATTTGGTTTTCGTTTTCATTTAAAATTGAAGGCATTTTAAAATGACGAGACTTCTGGTATGTAACGAATAAAAGCAAACTCCCTTCTGTTTACATATATTTTAAGACGATGCGATCCCCTCATATGATACATCGCCAACACAAACGCTAGTGCTGTCAGTTCCTCATCGTGTAGTAAGAAAGTTTCATGGCATACTTTATACGTTTCCAATATATTTTAATTCTAATATACTTTCCGAGTTTTAAGCATCATCGAAGGTTGACAGCATAGTGCCTTATCGTAGAACCGCCCGGTCCTCTTGTTGGCACGTCATCATTCAAAACAAAAATGGCGCGGTGCGCTCTCAGCGAAAAATGTGGTTACTAGACACGGTGGAACGAGTGTGGTTACAGACCGGTTTGCTCGCCCTGTTACAGGAAGGCTGTATTAGTAGTTGAATTTATTGTGTTTTGCTGGTGTTGTGGTGTTGTAGTGCTTATCTAAGATGGAAACGTGTCAGACCGAAGGATGTGGAGAGCCAGCTAAGCTCCAGTGTCCCACCTGTCTGAAACTCGGTACGTAGGCGGTATATCTACAGCCCGTTCATACCTCTTCCAAACTGGGAGATAGGCGCATGCATTCATATGCGTATTGACGCCCCGCGTTTAAATAGTTCCAGCAGTAATTTTTTAGTGGGACTTGCCAGTTTTATGCTTACGATAATTGATGATTAAATCGCCCGGCACTCACCTAGTCTATTAAAAAAAGTTCGGTGAAATCGAATATCTGCGATGCATAATCTGCGAGAATCGAACGTGTTTGCCAATCGATGAGATGATTATGTGCGTATATATCTATTCGAAGGGATGGTAAAACTGAGGCCTTACTGCGTTTTGGCACCACTGGATAATAAATGGTACAAATAAAAATTAACTTGAAAATTAAGGTGTTTGTGTTATTTTAAAAATAGTAGAGAGTTTGCACCAAAAATATACCAAGTTGGTACTTGGGAAAATTGGCAAGTGGGCATAAAAAATAACGAAATCTTGGGAAGAGGCTCTATTCCAAATACCTTAACTTTTTTTTAACCTAAACTCGTACTTGTGAAGAAATGTTACATTTGCTATGAAGACCTTAGTACAGTTCCTTTCACCTTTAGTTTTATGAAAATCTTATTGGCTAAGTGAATCACAAAATATTCAAAGGACTTCAAAATAATGAGAATAAGTCATTGCATAAACCATGAACGCTCTCTATCATATCCCTTTTTAACCTAAGTTTACATTTAAGTCGAACATCGTTTTTAGCAGTCCTTTTATTAAAATTGTTTATGCCTGGTAATGGTATCTGATTTAGTGCCCTATATTGCTAGATAAATATTTTTGAGTGCGGTAGTAATTATTTGAGTCATAATGAAGTAGCTGGGTAACGTTTTGGGCACGTGTTCCAAATGAAAATATAGTTTTGGTTGTTGATGTCCTGTGTCCTGCTCTGTGATGAACTTTTGTGTACCTATTATTGCTTACTCGCCTTTTTCTGTGATATTGATGGTTCGAATTAAAGTTTCCTGCGTGGTGTCGACCGTACGTATTTGCAAACTTGTGAAGCTATGATATCATTTAACGTCATGTTCATCAGACATTTCCGGTAGACGAAACAGCACTAATTTCCAGTGAATGTAAAAATATGACATTGGTGTCGCATCCTTAATGCTGAAATAGTAGCTGGGTTATAGCTCCTTAATTAAGGTGCGTTATAAATGCATCACGGTACTTTATGTACCGCTTTTGACAGTACTATCGTCGACTTTCAGCTAGAACTATAGCATTGTTTTTTCGTGTGCTTGTTTTCAGGCATTAAAGGCTCATATTTTTGCAACCAAGTTTGCTTCAAAGGATCGTGGAATACGCACAAGGCTATTCACAAAACAGCAAAGTCGGAAAACGATAGTAATGCGAACAGTGAGAAGCCGTATAATCCTTGGCCGCACTACCATTTCTCCGGGAAACTTCGACCTGGACGAATCAGCACGAAGCGTACTGTGCCAGCTCATATAAAGCGACCAGACTACGCTGACCATCCAGAGGGCATTCCCGTCTCTGAACAGGCCATGAAGGGTGCGGAAATTAAAGTGCTCAATGAGGTACGACGTGTCAACGGTGACGGAAAAATTGGTTCAGGTGTCTGCTCATCATGTGCTTAAGTTAGAAATTCGATTATTTATTGTTGTCTAATTCGTTCTTTAATTTGGTTGCCTACGGCGGGTCAGTATGACGCGTTGATGTGGCGTCGTAGTTCATGATAGATGCATTGGATTTTGCAGGCTGAACAGGAGGCGGTTCGCAAAGCGTCATTGTTAGCACGTGAGTGTCTAGACGTTGCGTTGGCTGCAGCAAAGCCCGGTGTTACCACCGACGAGCTGGATAGACTCGTTCATGAAGCGGCCATTGCAAGGAACTGTTATCCGTCACCCCTAAACTACTACAAATTTCCAAAGGTAATTAGCTTCTGCAGCGCTATGATTGGCACATAAGCGTTCAGTCTCTTTAGTGTGCTAAAATCGTATTCTGTTTCTGTATTTTCTTCGAGCGAGCTGAAAGAGTAGGTAAAACATCGATAGAAAAATTGCAAGTTGATATATCACCGTTGATTGCAAGTTGATGATCTGCTAGTGCAAAGGGTTCAATTGTTGTAATGGAACTATTATTGGGAGTTTCTTCATTAGCATTATGGTAATTCTTGGTAATTTTATATGCCTATGTGTATTTTTGGCATAGAGTTGTTGTACATCCGTAAACGAGGTAATCTGCCACGGCATTCCTGACGATCGGCCGTTGAAGGACGGGGACATTTTGAACGTGGACGTTACTGTATATCACAATGGATACCACGGAGACCTCAACGAGACCATTTTTATCGGAAAGGTATTTTATCGAAACAGTCACCCTGGTTTTGGGTTTTCCTCAGTTCGCCTGCTTTCGCTTTTTCAGTCTTTTGCATCACATGTTGAGCCATATATTCCTAGTCTTCCGCGCGTAGCCAAGATTTATTTTCGCGTCAACTTTTATAGTTAGAAAAAAATGGTTGTTGCAGTTTTTTAGGTTCCCTGTTAAATAAATTAATTTCCCAAGTGGTTGTATTCATCCAGGTCGACGAGGCTGCGAAGAAGCTTGTTCGTGTAACTTACGAATCTCTACAGAAGGCGATCGAGTGCTGCAGGCCTGGCGTACTATATCGCGAAATCGGGAAAATTATTCAGAAGCACGTCCAACAAAATGGAGGGTTTTCCGTTGTTAAATCATATTGTGGACACGGAATTCATTCACTATTCCACACAGCGCCTAGCGTTCCGCATTACGCTAAAAACAAGGCTGTTGGTGTAATGAAGGCTGGGCATTGCTTCACTATTGAACCGATGATCTCGGAAGGCGTTTGGCAAGATGAGGTAAGTTAGAAATAATTTAGAATAATTTAGAGACACTAAGAAAGAGAAGCTAGATGAGATACCTATTAATAATAGTTAAAATTCAACACTGTAGTGTTATATTGCCCCAGAACTCGAACATACTGAAATAGCTATAGAATCAGTCTCTTTGCCTAATGCTTTTCAATAAATTTGTAAACGATGGTAGATAGCTTTACTTGTAAATGGTGGAAAGGGTTTAATAAAATATCGGTGTAGTCGAAGTGAATGCTTTTCTTTTTAGACTTCAGACCCGGGTTGGTGCGTTTCATTAACAGGTGTGGCCCGATAATTGGACTGCAGTAACTACCGATGGCAAGCGATCAGCTCAGTTCGAGCAAACACTCCTTGTTACTGATACGGGCGTCGACATTCTGACAAGACGGAGAAAGAAGAATGGCCAGCCGTGGTTCATGGACCAACTTCAGGCTGAACAGGCGAAAGGCAGCGATGGAGATAACAGCTGCCAATAGTAACAGTAGTTAGTAGGAATCGCAGCTGTGTCAAATCGAATAGACCTAGAGTTCAAACCGCAGGCTAGATGCACCATTATAGGATCGCTGCCCATAATTATTTTTCAATTTAAAGCTCGTAGTAACAACGGCAGTTATCGCAATGATGATATTATTAGAACGTTTGCCATCTAATTAACGAGATGAAAAGCCAGCAAACAAAGCGACAAAAAGGCTTCTGTTGGCAAGGGTTGTATTCTATGGTGCATCCACCGGTGATTTTGATGGGAGATGATGATTTCCCTACAGAATGCTTCATACATCTTAACCGGGAGTTAGGAACAAAAGCGGTTAGAGTACTACATAGTATACAGTCATATCATAGCAGCAAAAATGTGACATGTTATGCCGGCTTATTTTTTTGTTGTTGTTATTAACGATTGTTGTTGTGAACGCTGTGTGAGATAACGATGATAATGAGTGGCTATATTTGAAGATGCGCGCGATGTCGCAAGCTTATTAAGGAAAACAAAGAAAACACATTTTCGTTGAATATGTGGATAGAGTGAATATTTTTGGCGGGAAAATCAGAGACAGATATTATATTCAGAATTGTCAAAACAGTTGGTCGTCACCACTGATAAAATCGCCGTAGATATCTTGCATATTGAATTATATTTAGTGACTGGAGAAAGCGCTACTTGATGGATATGGTTAGTTGGGAGTAGTCATCATTTGAAAGGGAGGGTATGATGATTTCTACGCATGGATTATGGACAACTGATACTAGCTAGAGACTATATGGCAATATTAAAACAAAGGAATAATTAAGTATAATAAAACAAAATTAACGTGCATAAAGTATCTGCCGCTTGATGTGGTAATCATGGTTGTGTATGTTTGCATGTTAAATGGGTCGTGTGCTGTTTGGTTAGGTTTAAAGGTATATAGTAGTATAAAAGTGTAAATGATTTTTTGATCCCTTCAAACCTTGTGAATCGAATCTTCCTCATAAAAAGTGACACTTTTCAGCGCCGATACGTTGCGAAAGGCAATAATGCCTATGAGACGTCGAGGAACACTTTAATATTATACAAGTCGGGTTTGTAATGATAAAATTAAAATAAACCCGATACCTGCTTTGGAAGCGGTGATACTTTATTGAAGCATCCTTTCCGATGGACTAACGGGTCTTTGTAAGGTTGCTTTAGTACAAACGCTGCAGAGAAACATTTGATTAATACTCCTTTAGTGAGTTGAAATAAAAAAAACTGATAGTAGTAAGTCGAGTAATGGATAACTTCATTCATTAAAGCCTAGATTTCAAATGAAATTCTTTAAAAACGTTCTCTTATAGCTGAAGATTCAAGGGTATTTGCGTACTACTAAAGTTCTGTTCCTTTATTTGCTTCTACACAAATGTCAGTGAAGCTCGTGAAGTTCTGACACAAACCTTAGTTGTGGGAAATAATGCTGTAGTAAAATTAATTGTGATACAATGGAATATTTTAGCAGAATTCGAGAAGTAGGCAACTTCTTATTTTAAATATTTAGTAATACTACCTCAGGTACCCGAAACAGTTAACGTTCACAATTATTAGCGTTTGGTACTAGCAGGAGGAGACATGTTTTCGAAAATCGGCATGCTTATCCGCTGTAGATTAACAAGCGATACATATTGATATAGACTCAAAAGAGAAATCAAAAGAAGCTTTGGAGACAAGTCGCTTCAGTTGCTTAAAAATAAAAACTTGCGAACTTCGTCAACTGCAGTGGTCAACAAGTTGCTTTAGGCTAAACTGATGATCCCCAAATCTCATGCTACCGCAGGATATACAACAGCATAGAAATCTGGTTAATCAGTTGGTTTCGCAGCCCAAACCCTATTCTGCAGAAACGATCATGAGGGAAGTCTTCCTGGTACCTTCGAAAGTGTGCGCAACTTTTCTTTTAGTAGTACCTAGCTATTATAGTTCGGTCTTTGTTTCGAATATGTGCTGTGATAGAAACCCGTAGCTTAGCAAGAAATTGACTGCTACTCGAATGCCGTAACAAGTGACTTTTTTACGAAAATGTTTCTAGAAATAAAAACGCTAGAAACGGAACTGAAGCATGTTTTAGTATTTTGTCGATCAGATTAGTGTAGAGTAGTAACACAAACATCGGGTCTTAGCCTCGCGCAAATAGGTCTTCGGTCATAATGATATACAGTCATAATATTTGAGTACTCAGATATAAAAAATTAAAATTTTTCAGTGTTCAGAATATTACAGCTAATTTTTTCTATGTAAGCGAAATGGCTACTGAAAAAAATAGCAGCTTTTTCTCTAAACTAAACGTTTTAATCGTCAGGAAAATAAGGAATAAAGAAAAAAATAAAGATTTGAGTGAAGTAAGAGATTAAGACTAATAGGTGATTGCATGGGTCAGTATGTCTCTTGGAGAAACCGCAGTTGAGTAAGCAAAACCCACTTCAGTTAGTCCTAACGGGGGTAATTCCTAGACGCTATACTTAAAAATAGGAGATTCTGAATCCTTATTTATAAATAATAAACACTTAACAATGCTAAATCGGAATCGTTCTTTGCGAGCGCTGTCCGAACTTGAATTGACCGTTCCGTGTTCTCTGCACATATTAGGAAGTACGTAAGTGCCGTTTTTTTATTGTAAGTACTGTAAACAGCCAATCGCATTCGTAGGATTTGCTTTGATAGCAGGTTACAGAAGCTATGGAAAACTTAACTAAGGCCGTTTTAACACCGATTATCTATGAACCCATTTCGCTAAGAACCCTCTCGTCAGAACTATCAGCAAAAAAGCGAACAATTCTGTGTCATGTCGTACAAAACTCTTTCGCTGCTTGTTAATGTGGAGGCTTTAGCCAAATTAGTTGGGTACAATCGGGTACGTAGCCATGTACAATGCGACTACACTACGCGTGCAAAAGGAGCTAGCAAGTCTACGTGCTTTACACAATAGCGAGGCTGGAGTAAAGTGTTATACATGAATACATGTATCTTCAACGTGTTGAAAGTTAGGTAAAACCATTAGTACTAGCTACCTACATCACCGTCTCGGTATAAAAAGTATGTGAACAAATAAACGAATGATAACCTAGACTCTAAAAATACGAAACACTCGTTTGAAGGATATCGCGAGCTTCTTTAAATCAGGGTTCTACGTGCTAGAAGTCGTAAGTTTGCAAACATGAAGCCAAGGGCGAATATCACTTTGGCAACTTACATATGAACATATAAATATTACAACCATTCTTCGATGTACCCTAATATGTCATGTTCGATGTAGAACATTGTCCCTAATAATAGCTGTGCAATAACCATGTGTTATTAAATATAATCTACCCTCACATGATGATGAAGCTCATTATCTTCATACGTGTCTGTTACTATTTATCCCGATTATTCATATGTTGTATCAATTAGTAATTCATAGTTCCGCACGTGTTTTTGGCCTCGTTAGTTGCACACGCCATTGGACGACTGGTACTTCTCGTTCTCTCTTTGTTCAACTTCCCATGCGTCTTCATCCTGGTTGATAGGTTTCGCTGCCGTAGCTTTTCCGAGATATTCTTCGGACTATACTGTTCTCTGGTTCGGCATTAAAGTCCCTATTTGTCTGAGAGGTGGTCCCGTCAACGATTTTTAATCATCACATCTGCTTGATTTCTAGCCGGTTGTATAATGCTTATTGGGGCTGTTCACAAATTCTTGTTTGTTTGATAAGTTCGATATTTCTTCATGCAATGAAGATGCTGGGATTTCGTGAAAGTATAAGACCATTTCCCGATGTCTATGGTATAAGACCAATTCCCGAAGTCCTTTTAGAGTGAATTTTTTTCTACACACAATTGTTGTAGTAATACTAATTAAAAAGAACAGTCTGGCGCTTGAGTTTTAGTTGTGCCTTGGAGCCATTACCGAACTTTAGCTTTTGAGCTCAATCTTTTGTTCGTTACGCCAACCTTAAGCTCGGGTGAACACGTGATGCTAATCGATCTTTGACGGTAATTGAGAGTACAATTATCATTTCAGTACAATTATTGACTTTTGCCTTTAGCCTGAGCAGCATTTTGGATTCCCACCAATGCAGATTAGTATTCTTTCTTGCGGTGTCTCTAGTGTTTTCTTGATAGCCTTTTGACCACTTTTACTGTTGCACCTTGTTCTGCACTAAAGGACGGAAAATATGGTAAGTTTGATATATAAGTAATTCTCTATAAAGCCAAAAACAATATAAACGTCTTGAATGTGTATATTAGCCCATGTATGTAATTTTACCAAAATAGCACATGGCACGAAACGTCCTCTTGAGATAATTATAATTTTTCGAACAACCCTGATCTAGTTCTAAGAGACCTGAAAAATTTCACTGCCACTGGGTATTATTGCCAATATGTGTGTTATTTCTATGATAAACAACTATTCTTCAGTGGTTGTGCACTTCTTTTCACTTTCGGCTTAGACGTGCGCCGCGAATATCTGAAAGCAGTTGCGCTTGCAATACATTTCGAATGTTAAAATCCACGTGTGTGTGGGATGAGTCTCTTTAATGCTGCCTCGTCCCTTAAAGGCTTACATCGTTCTAATTATAGCTACCTTATCCGAAAGTTAATACCCTGAAGTAGAAGATGTGTCTTAGGTACTTAGGTGAGGACACAACTAGCCTGAGCACATCGTCATGCAGTAGCTTCCTCACGCTTCCTCATCGGTCTCACCTGGACCGAAGAAAATTAGATTATTGGTAATAGCTTGTATATTGTTTACATTTTTACGCTTATTTTTGTGAGTACACCTTTGCTTAAATATTAAGTCCTTAAGGCATAAGTAGAGAATTAACACCAGGCTACGCAAGTAAACGATTATATCGTAAATTAGTCGTAATTAATAATTCAACGTTTAGTTTATTATTCGTAACCCTCGCATTGGCAATGTTTAAACGCAGCCAAGTTAACGTCTAAAGGCGTGATTGACGGAGAGTATCATTCGCAGGTAACGTAGTGAGTATACAAAGTATAAGAATGAAAAGAATCTCAGTCTAAAGCAATGCTGCCGGACACGAAAATCGGACCAGTTATTTAGCTGTCCGGGATCCATTTTTGCTTCTATCTTTTGCAAAAATTTCAGTCTAGTGGAGGCTAGCCAGCTTTAGGAATATTGACAGAGAGCGAAGAATAGACCGACACAAGAAGAGAAGGCGGACGTAAGGTTCCGGAGAATCATTTCATATCATTTATTAGAAAAAAGTTTATCGGATTTTGAGACCTTCATAGCGCCGCCAATAAGATGCGTACATCCATGTATTTAAAAAGAAAAGGATTTTTCGAATTTTCAGCGGCTAAAGCACAAGTTGTTGCTTTTATTGTTGTTGAGTATTATTAAGTATGACTTAAAACACTTTTTTCTAAAGTAGATTATTTAGAAATAGAAGGTTATTGTCAATATCGTTATAGTTGTGATTAGGGCTAAAAATAAGCGTAAATAAGGTTCATAGTGGACATAAATTTATTACCCAATTCAATCTTTTAAAAACGCGTTGGGCGAAAATATTAATTCCGAGAATCTCAGCATCATTACCACAATTTAATACGGAACTGATTTGAGGAAAAGATTGGCGTTCATAGAAGTGGTAACACAATTTATCGTTCTATTGGACTTCGCTTAGATTCAGTATAAACGAATGTTCGTCATATATATCCTATATGTAATTTCCCGTAGTCCCTCCATTATTATAGTCGCAAGGGTAGCTAAAAGGTAAATTTTTTTATAATAATGTTTTGTCCTACTGTTGAGAGTATTTACGATAACCTTATTCCTACTGATTTTTTAATGTGATTAAAACGCATGGAAATATTTTATAAATTAGTATCGAATGTTTCAAGATTTGCTCAATTTCTTCAACCACGTTGCGTGTGATATTTATATTACTAAACATGAAAGCATGAGCTATACGTCTAGCAAAAAGTAACAGGTTAAGTAACATATGTAAGCAATATAGTCAATAAAGTCAATCTCAGTATAATCACGGAGGAAACATCGGTTGAAACTTCGGTCATTTAGCATTGGCGATGTTTTCTTTCAGAAATCTACGCGTATTTTCAAACCAGGCTTGTGCTTGTAATGTGTGTAAGGGCAACGTCAACAGTAACAGCAGCAATGATTTCTGGTTCTGAAAATTGCATATATCGATTTCCGTTTTACCTCGAAGTTGTGAGTTTCTTTGAAAATGGTTGGTGCACGCTATTGTCAGAACAACCTGGTCAATATACTCGTAGCACGACGACCGCTCCTAGTGCCACCACTGCGGCTACTATACCGATATGTAAGCGTCTTGTATAGAGCCAAAAGCCTTATGGGTCCATCTTTCGTTTTGAGCAGTTGACATCTCTGACGACAATATGCTACAACGATATGTTGCAAACTTTCTAAATCGTACAGGAAGAATAGAGAAATGAAGCAAGCGTTGGTAGTGAGTCGAACATATCTTGGTATAATACAAACACATTGCTTATACCGCTGGCGTGCTTACTAAGTAGATGCCACATGCCAGGCTAGTATAATGGGAGATGGTAGCATCGTTTACTCAGCTCCTTTAAAAAATCAGCCGAGAGATGCTTCGATTTGATGAATGGGGTATAGCTGATGCATGTCGTTGGAGGTTTTTAAAAGTAAGAAAAATTTAGTTCAGAATACGTATCGTCTCATAGACAGCGGGGCCATCTTCAACGTCGGAATCAAGCCTAAACGGAACGGACGCACAAAACACGAAGGAGACATTGTTCTGTCTTTGACCAGAGTCGTAAGTACTGCGGCACCTTCCAGAAATAGTTGGGCCTGTGTAAGAACCATGCTACCGTGAGCCTGCATGAGTTTTGTAAGTCAATGCCGGAAAGCCTCGTCTAAACTTTAATATATTTCGGGAAACGTGTTTTGTTCAGGTGTTCCTTATTATGGTTACAACAATTTTTTAAGCTCGGGCCTCCGGCAAATTTCGTGTGGAGCGAGTCAATTGTAATATATGTAAATAGCGAATACGCATATGATAACATATGCTGATTTCTCTCAGATTGAAACCATGAACGTAAAGCTCAAGATAAAGCTACGGTTCCTAAGAGAATTGACTTGGGGGTCTGTCGGATTTTATTAACATCAGATTTTACTGTTACTTGACCACACTATAGAATTATGGGTCATAGAAGGAATTTAGTTTTAATTGCTTGAAGATGAACTGTAATATTACGTATTTATTTTTTGTTTGCTTTCTTTACTTTAAATGATGGAATTTATGGTAGAGTATTTTTTTGTTGACTGGATTGTATACTATACATGTAATTATTGGAACTTTATTTTTAGTAATTAATTTAATTTAGATAATAAATTCGAGATTGGAATTAGTAATTTGATATTGGCATTTTGCACATATTGTATGATTATTATATTTTATTTAACATTTTACCGGTCAAAGTAGGTAGTAGTGCCTTATAAAATTATTGGCAGAAACATTTCATTTCTTTAGAACCGGGTTTTGTTCTACGGAATGATGTTTATCAGAGTTTTTAATGTGTGTTGTAAACGAAAAAAAGATGAGGGAAGGAAATTTGGACAACTTAGTCTTTAATCAAGGCATTGGCCTAATCAAAAATTGTCTTAATATTTCAAGCGGTGGTTTTTTTTTATCTTGCAAAGTGAGTATACGGTTAGTAAGCAGGAAGATCGATTAACTAGATATGTATAGATCGTTCGTTGCTGGCATGCAATCCATCTTCACCAAGACGGTCCCTACATTTTGGTTTGTGTCAGTTTGTAAGTACCCCGAGGGAGGCAAATGTAGGTGGTCATATATAACATGTCTGTATTGAAATCTGACGAGGAATGCGTCTAACATGTAAGCGCTTTATAGTCGAAGAGTGCGCTAGCTAGCTATCAACTAATAAAAGTAACTATGCTATATAAAAAAAAATATAGTTCACTAGCTCCTCTTATTTAAACATACATCTGCTGCAATACATAAATCCACGAGTAAAATGCGTGGTCGTTAACCAGTGACAGGCTCTACGTACCTTGGTCTCGTGGTTTAAGATGAAGCCAATGCGACTTATTGACGACCGTCTCGAGATTAACAACGTTGAGGAATGTTGTTACAGGTGGAGCTAACGTGGCTAGAATATATTTCAAACATATTTTTAAAATTATTAATTGTGTAATTATTCGCAACAAAAATTACTCAATTAAGCTGTCAACATTTATTACAGAAGGGTGAAGAGTCCGATTAGATGATGAGAATGATTAAATATTACTGGTTTATATGTTTCCCGTTAATTACTACTAGTAGGTAAATAATGGATAGATATTATGTAATGATCCTTGTATAGGAAGTGGGTAAGTGTCAAGTGTAGACACTGATCCTTACAGGCTAACAAATTGTCATAAATTAAACTCATTGAAATAAGAAATAAACGCACGCAGTTAGGTGTATTTAGGCAATAAGAGGCTAGTCAAATTAATTATTTTGTTAAAGGCATTCTTTTTATTTCCTGCGCTTGTGATAATTGCGGTTAAAATTGTAGCTTTAAACGGTTGACTGCAATGTTATCTGTCATAGTTGTCTATAAACAGATTTTTCTTTGAGTAGATGACAGAGCATAAAGCTGAGTTTGTCGGATTATTTTTCGCTAAGAGAAAAAATTATATCAAGTTACTTTCCGTTACCGGTCACACACGTAGTACGTAGTATGTGTTTCGTTAATCTTTTCGGTAGTATCTCATCTATTTTTTTCCACGCATCAATGAGCGCGAGCTTGTCGAACCCGTGTGACGCCAATCATCATTAGGGTCGTCTAAATGTCGCCTCTGTTATCATTTTAGTTAACAATTTGCACCATCGGTAGACAAACAATTTGTTTCGCTGCGACCAACCAAGAAGAATTGATAACGATTTTAGTTGTGATTTAGCTGTTCAGCAAATGGACAAACGCTTAAATAACCAATCTTTTACTTTTAAGCAAAAGCCCAACAAAATGTTTTGCTTAACGTTTTAGCTAAGTTCCGGTGCAAAAAAGGCTTACTTCTTGCCAGCTTGTTGAGAGACCTAAAGAAAACCTGTACTAAGATCTGCCACATGCATAACTTCTGGCCCCTTGGTAAGGATGAGCTTACTCAATATAAGCCGATACTAGGAAAGTTTTTCTTTGCCCGCCTTCTCGTTGCGTTTTCGTTTCCATTAACGGTTCCGCATGATTTCCATTATCATCATTTCTAACAGCTCTTACTTGCTTTAGTATACACTTTAGAAACGGAAGATCTGTGGCCCCATACGATTAAGGTTGCTATCAGTGACCTCGTTCGTCATATAAATTAGTATTTAATATATTTTGCGTACTTCTTACCCCTTAAAATATTCGCTTTGATTAAACTCCGAATGACCTCTTCCGCAATTTAAGACGTACTGATATAGCGGACGCCTTTGCATAACATGCTCCACTTAACCATGGATGGGAAAGACGCGTCTTTTTCAACTTTTCAAAGAATCTTATTCACCTTTTCAGAAAATAATTAGACCTAAATTAACTCTTTTGTAAAACAGGTTTCACTGATCGCACAGGGAAAAAGCTTTTGATTCCGTATCTTTTATGTATGAGTATTTATCATAATCATAACCCTTACTACAGTAAATTTCATGCACTTTTTTCGACCAATAGCAGCCCTTTTAAATCTCAAAGCCAAATCTAGACTCAATAATACGTTCACTTATTAACCGTTCACACAGAAAATTCATACGTTATGCTAAACAAATTATCGATGATTTAGTTCACTTTTCCATCCTTTTTAGTACGTAATATACTTCCGTGCATTTTACCCTTGTTATTGTTGAGTTGCTGAATAAGTATTCGATGTTGCTGCCGAGTCTGATTAGACGGGGCACACTCATGCCCCGTTGGGCAATCTGGGCAAAGCGGACAGTTACCGCCCAGTGGCACCTGCTCTTCAAGAATTAGCCGCGGTGGCGGAGGTGCACCATAAACGCTGTACGTAATCGCTTCATTGACGTCCTCAACCGCACCTCCGTCGGGTCCCCCGCCAGTTGCACTAGATTTCTTTCCTGAAATAAACCATATATGAAAGGCATTTGATTAGTATTTAGAGGGGGTTTTTATATGAGTATATTTCTAGAAAATTCGTTTTTGTAGACAATCTGATTCCTCAAAGTACGACTGCAGAAGTTACTCGCTAAGGTGAACGCGTCAGATAAGAGCGCCGTTTGTTGAAAGTGACTGCCCTCGATTGTGCGTATTATGACCTTAACACGTAACGTCTTGAAAATCATATCCTTAAGACTATATACTTGCAGTGCAAGCGCTACACGGCTGCATTACTAGATGATTTGTTTTTGTTAGACTATAGGGAAATCGGACTGAGTTCGGCATTTGTTTAATTCCAGTGTCCTGCACCTCGAAATTAACGAGTTCTTATCCGTGTAACCTGTGAGAAACGAGTACTAGCAATATTGCTTTGTCGCTTGTAATGTCGTTGAATGTGGCCAATGATTTCAATCTAACACGAAAGCAAGGTGCTATGCTAAAATAAAATCCTGCAAATGATTTTCAGCAGGGGTCCATACTGAAGCCTTCCTTGAACAGATGACGAGCATGACCTAAACACACCGCGTGACGATGCTTGGATTTAATGAAGGCAGGCGTGCTGTTTCTAGTTAAGCTCACGTATTCTGGTCCTTGTTTTCTTTATTAGGAAAACTCTGCAGGTCAAGACTAGGGAAAAACCGTATTCTTTTGCAAGTCAATCTCTGTGATGTAACATGATAGTGTAGCGTAGCCTTGAACAACTGGGACATTGCCCTATTTTCTGTGAAATTAGACAATGAATCAAATTGAGAAAATTCGAAAATTTATGCAACGGGTTCGCATAGTAGCTTCTTCTACCAGTTCGATACCACGTTTGATTCGACATTCGATACTACTCATCCAGATCCTACCGTGCTCCCTCTTTAGTACGCGAAGTTTATGTATATATTAATTGTTAATTGACGAACCTGACAAATGCTTACAAAGCTTAATCTGAATCGTACGCCTTTCTTTATATCGGAATACATACGTTATATATAATAATAGCGAAATCGAATACGTCAGCTGCCATTTTAAGTTAAGAACAATACATCGCCAATAAAACATTGAATATCTTAAGAATTTCTGAAGTTTCAGTCAATAGACCACCCAAATAAAAATGTGATTTCGTATCATCTGATTTGCGAGCTGGTTTTCACTGTTCACCAAATACGAGCTTTGTTCTGTCACAACATGACCTAATAAATATAATACTATCTCTTCAAGATTCAGATATGATACTTTCACTGGATTGTGCAGACTATTATATCTAACGCTAGAACTTGAAACAGAAGTTACCTGATTTGCTAGAACACTTTTAAAATATAGTTAACATCCCGGTATAGCGGAACATTATTGCTAATGTCTATTTTTCGATATATTAATAATTACTATTTGAAGTTTAGCTAATTTATTTCGAAATGGTAGACTGTAATTATGTGGGTTCAGCATAGAACTTTTCCATTTTTTTTTTTTTTAGCTAGAAGCTTATATGGGCGCTAATGGTTTGGAACTGGTACGACTGATTTAATCCTGACTATTTCTCAATTTAAAAAGACGTATGGCGCATCTAAGAAAGTCCTTCACAGACTCGTGCACATGGATGCAGTTTAGCGATATAGTTTTAGCTTCCATGCATGCGTCATCATTGGTCCCCCCTAGTACGCCCGTAAATAAAATTATAGGCAGGAACGCGGACTTTTAGATGATAACCTATATGATTCTGTAAAGCTGCATAAGGTTCAGGTGTAACAATTAAGTGTAGTGCTGATAAAAAAATAACTAGACTTTTCTAAATAATTCTGGTAAAGCTCAAAGACTAAACGTTTTGAAAACTGTATCTTGATGCTATGCAGAACATCAGTTATCCTCAAAAAATTGTCCGTCGAATTCGAGTACCTAAGTTGACGAGGTCTTGTTGTCAGTGAAATGATACAAAAATAGCTCATAAATATAAATTATTTTTTTACTGATTTGATACGCTGATGAAGTTTTTCATTAAATGGATATAATGTTTGCAGTGTTGTCCTCGTTTTTCAATAGCTTATCATTGCTTCAATAAGACGTACTATGTGTCCCATGCCGAGACCTCGGTTAGGCAAAGGTCGCTTTTGCCTGAATAAAAAGGCTACTTATGTATCTCATAATCTAGCTCACTATTGATGCATGCTGAAGAAACGTTTGGAGAAGCACTGTAAAACTTCTGAAGTTACCGTCTGTTTTGAAGCAGACGTACCTTGTCGTTAGCTAGTATGTCGTATTGCCTGGTATTTCTTTCAGATATGCTGTTTCTATTGCCTACAAAAGTACTGAATATAATCATTGCACACGTTCGATACGTCGTCTGTCGTCTGCTAACCAAATATCAGCTTAACCGAGCTCTTACTACAGTCAAGACATTAACATGTACTTGATAGGTTTTCTCAAATTCGAAGAAGTTTTAGCACACGTACTCGGGAGAAATATTTTTTTCGGTAAATATTCTTAAATTTTCACAAAAGCTATAATTTTCCATTAATTTCTGATAAATGTATTTACTCATATAGGTTGAAACAGTGATTTCCGGTTCCATTCAATCAGAGACCTCGTTGTTTAAGCTACGGCGTCAACTTGGGTTTTCCTAGCTACTTATTTATTATTTCTAGCCTTTGATTAGTCTCTGCACTCGGATTCTGTTGGCAAGGATCTCTGCGGTAGTACCTGCAAAACCTCGTTGCCTTTTAACTGGGGTGCACAAATACACACACACACACACATATATATATATATACATATATATTTTATTTTTTTTTTAAGCAAACTTTACACTAGAATTGGTGTCTTGCGTGTCCTTTCGATTCGGATACATCCAATCACAAAGAAGCAACCGAATTACGAAACTTCGCTGATGTGCTCTGTTTCTGAGCGGAACTATGCTTGTTCGCTAAAGTGGAAGACTATTACTGCTATCAGATCGGACGGACACGATAGTTTACGATGAAGACGAGGAATAACTTTTAACATTTGAAGGATAGCGGTTTGTACTGAAAGCGATTCACCCAGTTCGGTTTTGCGGTCGCCGTCCTCTGATCTCAGATGCTGTTTGCGTGCCTGTTGAGAGTCACTTGTGGCTGAATTTTGCAATGCCCAGTTCTTTATTATTGCGTTGCTGTCGTCATATTGGCGGTGCACGGGGTCCCTGAGAGAGCACTGAAAAGTACTGGCCGTAACGAATCTTGTCGCTAATGCTTCACTGGTCAATTATGAATGCTACGGCGGCTGCCTCTTTTGCTATCAGGTTTTAAATAACTTTTAAAGAATCAGAGTTGCGATTAGGCTTGCTTTTCTCCGAAAGCAAAGTACCTGAAGAGCAACTTTGACGTTAGTTGCTTCTGCTCAACTGCCAGCGGTGCTAACATAATAATAACAATGGCAATCAAACCTTTCGGGAATATACCAAGGTATTCGATTAGGTACAGCGTCCACCTATCTAATGTAGTTGTGGCTTTTTAGAGGCAATCTTTTGTGTTAAAAAAAAGATGACTTTACTATCGAAGTTTGATATATATATATATATATATAAGTAGGCAGACGATTATCTACATTCATTTGGTGCTCCTAATTTGGTAAATAGAAAGCTAACCTATGAGTTGAGTTCAGTGTTTGATTTAGCTTGGCTTCATTGATCGAATGAACCCGGCAATTTAATTTATTGCCAGTAAAACAAGGTACTGTTTCCATATAGTATGCGTTGTCCCAACAGTTACGATAACTTTTTTAGTAGAATTTAATAAATATCTATTTTACAATGGAAAATATCAGGCACATTGTTATTACCTCCAATGGAAAAAAATCAGGGTTGGGACGTTTAAATCAGCAAAAACCTTACCCGATTTTTGTTTACTCTGCTGGAAGGTTTCAAAGGTTTTTTTCGGGATTACTAGATACGTGAATTACTAATATACTGATTATATTTTACGACGTGCGGGTTTTAATTACTTACGAGTAACGGAAAAAACACCTGTAGCTGTGCCCTTAACGTTGCGTGCAATGCATTTATAATGAGCGAGATCACGTTCGGCCACAAACGCCACGGTAAGGATGCTCTTGAAGGTGTAACCCGTCTGGCTTGATCCTCCCGAATCGTCAGTCGAAGGTGAGGCGGCCAGCTGTCCGAATGATGACAATGAGGACGACGATGAAGACAATGGTTCAAATTCTTCTGAGATGGTAAATTTTAGATCGTCGTGGATCACTGGTTCATCTACCGAAATTAAATGTTATAGGTGAAAATAACAGTTTTGTTAATCACTGAACTCTATTGAATTTATCCCGCGTGCTCAACCGGGTAGGTTAGAATTTATCGGACCATTCCTGGCCCTCTCCTTCCATCTTTAACGACTGCTTGAATACTGTTGATTCTCCATACTAGTAACTCATAAATTCTGTTGCTGGGTTTGCCGTTATTTAACGCCCGTTTCAATGCAATCATACTAGTACCCTATGTCCAGCCTAACGATATGTACCAAAAGTCACTAGCAGAATAACATTGGGCTTTGCCAATGGGAAAGCAAAAAACTGAAGAGCTCTGTGAGCTGTACGAATAAGATCGCGTCCTACGTTTCAGAAGACGGTTCTGACCCGTAGACGTTGGATGCTTCGCAGAGCGTTCAGTATAATCGTTCCACAGAGACTCCGAGAGAACCGAAATTGCTTGTAAAGAATTGATCGCGTACCGCCCGATTTCGGACTCCTTCGAGTTACGGTTATTGTCGAATATTTAATCACATAAAACCCCGCCTATGCATACTAGGCAAATAGAATCAGGTAAGATTCGTCTCTCGTTTGTTCTTATGTTGATCGGCAATAGCGCCAGGACTTGAACGAAGGTAAGTGATGACAGGCCTCTAGCCAACCTAGACGTTTCTCGGCCATACGTTTCACTATTCATTATTGATTGTTTTCGTTCAATTTTCAGAAAATACTATATGAACAGTTTTGTAGGCCTCTTCAACTTGTTTAGGCAACTTGAGATGAAGTTCTATCAAACGCTGCGCACGCTTACGCGTTTTGCCTGTGAAGCGTAGCGGGATGTGGGCACACTACAATACTATATTAGGTTATGAGAAAAAAAAGAGTAGTACTTTACCGTCGCTTTTGACCCAGTATATCGAGGCTTTCGGAAACGCCTCAACGATGCATTCTAATTGCGCCGAAGCCCCGTCTCGAACAGTCACGAGCCAGTTGGCAATTTTGATCAAAGGTGGAACTGGAATCACAAAGACGGTGAAAAAAACGCTTCTATTATTATGTAAAATACTCTTCTTCTAATTTATTCATACACTTATTTGCCGAAACAATGTTTTAGCGCGGTCTGATTGAACACTATTCAAGTCAGCCGTGTATAATCAAATTGGGCAAATCTCAATACGATACAACGAATTGATGACCATACTCCTTGCTACCAGGGCTTAAACAGCGTATTTTCACAAAGATCAATACTCGTGGCAAGTTTTCTCTTTAAGAATGACGCCAACAAAAATAAGGCTATCATTTCAAGGTCGTGTCGCTAAAGGAACTGGCTTTTGCAGCTCACAGACCATATATACATGACCATATATATGATTTGTGTGCTGCAAAATATATATTCATATATTTCATCGCTATATCAACACCTAGATATTAACAAAGTAATTTTCATAATTATAGTTTCAGATTTACTTTTACTATTGCATAATAGTGCTTTTGGCGAACCCTGATTTGACGTGACGCGCGATGCTGGATATGTATAACACAGACCGTATTCCATTTACGTTAGCGACACGTTTGAAATAACGTTGTTGTTGTCGTTATAATTAGAACAATATCTGATTCGTGTAGTTTTTTCTCATGGTGCATTGAGCACTTTACTATCACTAACGTGTACCAGTACGTCTAGAGTTGGCGAGCCGCTAACGGTCAACGCTCGTATCGTACCTGTTTCAGGCCAATGTTGAATGAAAGGCTGGAGGGTGAAGGCGCAGTTTTTATCAGTGTCGTTATAGATATTTTTTCAGATATTAGCTATTTCTGTTTGGTACTGTGGAGATCCTACGTATGTATCGCATTTATTTTGTCCAATTCATGATTGTAGACGCTGATACCGACTGCAACGAAATAGATACATGGTCGCTTTGTGAAATAATAACATTTTTTTTTTTTAATTCGCTCGTATTTTTGCTGCAGCTTTTCGAGGAAGTAGCCATTTAAAATCCGTGGATGTTTGTGCCTAGGCCTTAAGATCCACCCTGGCCTGTTGAGCTTACAAATCGTAGTACGCTTTATTTTCCATTCATCGATAAATTAATCGTCAAGCAGCCTATTGGTCGAATAGGCAGCTTGTTGTGTCACTGATACGTCTTGACCGAATGTTTAAACCATCACCCAGGTAAACAAATGAATCGCACACTCTATGATCTTGCGCCGAAATAAAGTTTCGGTCGTATTTCATCCACGACAGGATTTTTTCATTTTCTTTTTTACTATTAGAAAAGAAATTCGCATAAATCAACGAAAACGAAGAGAAACGAGGCAAACAAGTGCGTTCGTGTGCCGTAGCGAAAAGAACACGAGTGAACAAGGCCACCGAAAAGATATATTGCCGGCTATAAACCCTGCTCTATATTATAGACTATACATCTGCGGAAGGAAAAAAAGGTGTTCTGGTTTCATTGCCTGTAGAGCTCCCACTTAAGGCACTTGTTCCCGGGTGGCATTCAGGTTGAAAGTGCGAGAACGCGCGTACGATAATACTGAATTCTAGGAGTGAGTTTGTTCTAAAAAAGGATACGTCTATTGGTTCGACAGGCGGTCGCATCCTTTCGAAGAGTTTCGGTCGCAGTCCATTTGTTCGATGCACATCGAGGGCAATTTTCCACGTACTTGATTTTTGTCTTCGGCCTTCGCATACTGGTCAGTGCGATGAGCCGGAAAGACAAAATAAGGAAATTGCGCATAGAGAAATACTAATCCAGCCCAAGTTAAATATGAATCATATGCCAACCGCCAACATACGCAAATCGGTTCATGTCAATACGGAAGTCTGTATGGTTTATTACTCTCTGAAGTCGTCTTGTTCGCGGGGAATATAAGGAAGACTAACTTCCCTTTATATTTTTGTATAGCAGCATATAGCCACAGTGACCAAAAGCCAGCGCTGTGGTTAAAGGCATCCAGCGCTGTGGTTAAAGGCATTTTTGTTCAGCATGTATATAGCCTGTCTTAAAATTATGTTTTTAGAAAATCTGCTGTCGTGAAGTTTACGAACAGAGAATCCGTGAGAAAATTAGCTGATATGTTATTGTCTGGCTCCCTTCCGAATTTTACGCTTAGTGCTGTTATTAAGCATTGTTTTATGCGGCTAGCTTGCAAGACAAAGCCCTATGCTCTGTTTCGAATTGAGACCGGCTCACGTGTCCTTATGTTGTTTGGCAAACATTTTACCACTTACCATTACCGGGAAGACAAGAATGTCAAACTGATGGTCTGGTAACCTTTAAATGCACAGGTAGGGTCATCCAAGCGGTCTGACCTTTTTTTTTTTTCGTCCACTGCAAAGAACACTACATTATTGCTCTAGTTCAACTATGCGCGCTGCGGTCTAGAAACAGTACTGTCTGTGGATTTAGAAGTTCAACTTAGTCTTCTTCTTATCTCTCGCAAATGTCATCTACGAGCCTATGCCTTGATGATGCCTACATCTCAGATAACCTCTCGAGGAACGTTCAGATTGCCATCTATCACAGCAGTTCATGATGTCTATGAGCGCTGAAAAGACGTGTACACCCGACTCTTATCCACATCTCTAACGATGCCCTGAGGTAGTGACCGTCTACTTTGGGGCTTAATCATCCACTTTGTCTGTAACAGACATCTTTCTATGACGCTTTAAAGATGAATGAGGGGGTAACATTAAAAACACAGAGTAAATCAATAGGGAATAACCAGCACTACAGTTCAGGCCACTGTGTGAGCTTGGAGGCAGTGGGCCGTTTTGAGAAGGGCTGCAACTTAGTTTATATATTTGACACGTGTGTGATTGGAGGCCTACGGAAATCCATTCATATATAATTTTTTTTTCAATTGGTTTTGTTAAACGTTGCACTATTACTCGAAAAACCAAAAATTGTAAATCACATACATATTTAACATCTATGATGTCAGTGGTCAATCAATGGGATACTGGCAACAACGATAGTCCTATAGTTGATCTAGTTGTACTCGATCTTTGGGGGTTGAATCGAGAAGATTTGCTATAAAATAGTCAGGGCGAAGTTCAACCGCCACTAAGAGTCTAGTTAGGTTAAATAAAGAAGAAGAAGAAGGGAACGTGTGAAAGGAACTCAGAGGCGGTAAGATTGAGTTTGTGAAAGAGATGGCAGTCTTCTTAGCAAGCGTGTTCTTTACCAGCCTCGTCGGCTTGATCTCCCTTGAGGCATCACTGAAGTTGACATATTGAGCTGCCGCTGCCTGCGCTGTTTCGTATCTCCACTCATGTCTCACTGCGGTCCCTTCTCTTTCTGTTTCGTTTTTTATACTCCTTCCTACTTTTCCTTCTCATACTTCTTACTCCAGCTTGACGGTCAGCTGTACGGCTGCACTGTTCTTCTCTTACAACATATATATAGCCGTACAAAGATGATGCGAGTGAGCAGATTATGGGGCAAACTACTAGTACAACTAATAGTGTGAGACGATGTACCCATGCCTCGCCGCTTCTTGCCCTGGCGGAATAAAAGAAGAAAGATATGCTTCGAGATGGACGTGAAAATTGTCGTTGTTTTCATCCTTAGAGAACCAGCGAACATCGTTATCCAGTGGTAGATGCCGCGTAGGCGTTCTGCCAAATCAGTACCTCGTCGCGCGTCACTCGAGTCAGCGGTCATTTTCGACCAGTACCTTCGTCGCTGTGTTGTCTGTCTATCAGATGTTCGGGGCAAGGCCTGAGCCTTTTCAAGGCGATAGCATCAAATGAGAGATGCGACGACGGAGGAGAGGAAGTCGGGGGTGAAGTCTCGCGAGACTCAACCCGAATCGACGAGACCGACAAACGAAAAGGGACTTGCGTCAACCTAACTGCTTCTATCCCGACCAGGGCCGGCCTCTTTGGCCCACTTTATCCCTGCCTTCTCGCAAAAGAGCTGCTTTGGCACACAGCCGCTTCAGGCAAAGCAACTTAGACAGAGCCGCCTCATTCGGCTTGTTGTGGTAGGTGTAAACAAAATGAAGCGTGTAAATAGTTGAAAAATAAAAAGAACAACGTTTTGTGAAATAAACGCTCTAAATGGGACTATTATAAGGCAAATTTAGCAGGATGCAAATCAAAGTGTCAGGCCGCGCACCGAACATCGACTCACATATAGTAGGATTCCTACGGCATATTCATACCTATGCACGCCTACCGAAAAGGTGGAATCGGCTAAACAGTTTCGACGTTATGATGTGTCCTTGTCATAGGCTATTTGAAGTGGAGCCGAATGATTTAAAAAAGCCCGCTATAACGTATAGTCGCCGTCTTAACGTTATCGCTTTACCCAAAAGAAAAAAAAAGCTTACCAAAAAGGCGCAAGGAAAAAAACATGCGCACCATTGTCAGCTAGTAACTTTAGAACTAAATGAACAGAAACTATTATTTCTTGACGTACATAACTTTTTACAGGACACATACAAAGAGAAACCATCTTGTCGTTTACTACTTTTTTTGAGCAAATCGAGGTTTGTACGGCGTGCTCCACAAAGTGCCCTCCTTGAAATGTCAAATCACCCCAGTTTAGGCTTAAGTCCCAGAAAGGTTGAAATCGGCACTTCGTACTGGAATTCTCTGTCGCGCTCGTCATTTTAGAAATGTGCTTCTGTAGCCCCAAATCACAAGGAGCTAATTTTTCACAGGTGCTCCTATCACCCATTTTATCACCTGGACCCAGAGGAACGATTAATGCATACCTTAAGTTAATTTAAAATAAACTCTACTGTTATAACGCGATTCGCGTCCTCGACGCTTTCTGCTATTACTGAGCCATAGATAAATCTTAACCTCCAAGTTGTACCGTGCCTATTTGTTCCAGTAACTTTGATCATAATTTAGCAAATTTCAGTTACAAACTGGTATTCGAAAGCCATATCTGTGCTATTAGTTATGGCTTCCCCGTAGAACGTATGCCGAGTTTCGATTACTACCCATCACTATTTGAGCTTGTCGATGCTTCCTGAACACACAGCTACATATGTTTAAAAGTCAAATGTTTACACTGTCTAATTGCAGAGGACCGTTCGCGGGACGTGCGTTTTAAGCTATGGCACTTTAAAGCATAATGTTGTTGAAGATTTAATTACTTGAAGGTCGTTTAGACACTGTAAACTCATTTTACTTCGGGATAGTTTTTCGATCTATTATTTACCTCTGACCGACACTACAAGTATATTTAGGGAAAGTATATATCTAAGTTAGGAGAAACGGCGACTGTTCCAACCCCCCTGGGAGAACCCACCCTTCCAAAAGAACCAGTGGCTTATAGAATCTTTAGATAAAGTGAACAATTTATTAGCGATAAATTGTGTACTTTATATCCATACGGTTTTTGTATAGTTGTCCTTTACGCGCAGAAGCTATTTACCGTGCTCAGCCTTCTGCATAGTTGGCATCGTAGAACTCCACCTGAAGGGCGGTAAGCAGAGTTATGTTGCGCGTTGAACATGCCATGTACCAGCATGTGAGGTTTACTGCAGACTGTTAACATTGTCGAATATGAATCGCAGCTAGATCCGATACGACCGTACTATAACGAGCAGGTCAGTGGGACGCAACGTCACAGTTGCAGTTGCCATAATTGAAGCTGCATTTTCTCTTTTGGCCAATGACTGCAATTTTCAACTGTCGGAAGGTTAAGCGGGACGCGACTCGTGCGACCACAAAAAAGATACATAAAAATCACATTTACTCGATGGCACTAAAGTGTAAATATAGACTGTCGTAGCGTACTCAAGCGTTACTGGTGTGATCTAAATATAGTCAAAACAAATTGGTACATTTCTAATCTGTTCTATAGAAATGCCATCCAGTACGATGTGTGATGGACTTACTGTGTTTTTAGTTCATTTCATTGAGAGATTTTCTTGTAAGCTAGATTTGGGAGACGCAAAATCATCGTAGTATCCTTGACCTGTAGTAGAAAACCTTGACATGTCAAGAGGTACACCATCTTAGCATACAGATTTGTTTCGGTCGGTTTACTCCACATTAACTTAATGACGCCTGATTAGTTATGTTGTCGTAACGAAATATCTTCGATTTGGTCTGCAGTTATCTAATAGCCTAAGCACAAGTTACATTGTGATACGTATATGTTTATCGAAACCTTGGCATTAATCTTGAATAGAGAATTTGTGTGTGAGTTTGCAAGTACAGACATGATGTTTTAAACACAGTCGCCTACAAATCATCCACCTATTGTTTTCGTATACCTTGACTGTAGGGTATAACTAAGCGAGTTATTATATAATGTCTGGTAACTGCTTACATAATACTTCGATGAAAACCTTTCGCACGTCTGGAGCAGAGATCCCGTTGGCAGCTAGGCAAACGTAAACGCCCATATCCTCACGGAGTGTTTGCGTAAAATTGAGCGATCCACCAGGCGCAAGAACGGATGATACTGCGATGCGAAATAGATATTACCATGTTAGCTTGAATAAATACACGTATCGGTATAATCTGAAAGTACGATGAGCCTGTTCCTTGACTAGGTAACCCTCGTGGCGTCCTAGTAATATCCAAAAATGATCCTATTCTCACTAGCAGTTTTTCTCGTATGAAGAAGCACCATAGAGCCATGTATGTGTATTTTTTTAATGTCAAATCGCAGTATTCAAAGTGCAAGCCATCCGAAATATGTTTAGGAGCACAGGCTATATGATACGATACATACATTTAAGTATAAGCGACTTCTATAAAGAAATCCATTTTTAAGTACACCGCCGCGGCCCGCCTTTGTATGCGAAAATTTAAGGGCATTTGGCTCTACGGCTTCATTTGTACGTTCGCGAATAATGTCTAAGTGCCATGATGGATTTTCAGGCGTCACTTCAGGGACGTCAGAACGTTCTAGGGTGTTTTGGATCTCTCATATGGTCATTCTCGTTTTGAAACGATACTCGACACCAAATACAAGGTAAACAGAGAGGAAACCAGCAAAGACATGATCATGCTCGCTGCTTGTCTTTACAAGGAAGACGAAGACCCGACAATAAAAGAAAAGTTCGAAGGGCGGAGGCAACAGCGATGGGAATGGATCAGCCGAGTCCACGCCATGGAGGGGCAATTAGGGAATACAGAAATATGGCAGTGCGGCTTCCTAGCTGAGGCTGCCCGCTGAGCTCTCTGGCCGTCTTAGTTGAGGGGAGGTAGATAACAAGAAACGTTGCTAACTGTCCCGCGAGAACAATAAATGGCGGCCAAAGCGCGCGCTCGGATTGGGCTGCATAGCAGACGGTTGCGTCTTTTGCTAACACGAACAGCGCACTGCTTTAGTATAGGTTATGGGGAAAGAGAGCGGGTTGGTTGTTGTAGGTTGAACGGTGGACAGGGCTGCACCGATGTCAAGATTTCCGCAGGGAACAGACCCACAGGCACCCTGGGCAAAAAGAGAGGCCAAGATGAACTGAAATGAACTTATTTAATAACAACAACATTATTGAAAACAACGCCTTCCTGTCTGTCTGCCTGCCGGCCTAGCTGGCTGGCCAGCTATCTAGTTAGAAGTGGAAAGGTAGTAGCATGAGAAGCAACTACATTGGCTGCTTTATTGTTGTCAGTTGGGGGAGGGGGTTACCAGTAAAGCTAGAGGAGTCAGAACTGGTAATGGCGGTGATGGCGTTCCTGTAGTAGAGCAAAGCGCCTGGTGGCGCCACCTTTTGTCGTGGCATTCGCCGGTCGCCGGTCGCGTTGTTGTTATGGCACTGCCGGTGTCCACGCACCGCTTATAAGCGCCCTGCGCTGCATGTAGTAGCCCAGCGATAAACAGTGGATTATAATTAGAGAATGGCGCTCGCAGGAAATATAGGAGGGCCCGGTGCACTTCTGGTCGTTTAGGTTATAACTAGCGGACGGTGGGTGACTCCTGTAGAAGCAAGCGCCCGGATAATTATAACGGGGGAGTAGGCAGCGGGATGAATGTATCGGTTAGCTAGGAACAGGACAGCAGCAAAAGCTGCTCGCTTCGTTGGCGACCCTCCGTTTTCTCTGATGCCTTGACGAGGTAGAAACCTTGAGTACACGCTAAGAAACATATGGAGAAGGAAATATGTAAGCCGTAGTGGCTATTGCTGGCTGAAGTTACGATCTTGCTAAACAAGAAGGATCAATGAATTATATTACTGTAGTAGTAATAAATATAGCACGGTTGAGATTACGATCAATGATTGTCTCCTTGAGGCGGAAGAAACTTGAGCTCTAAGAGCTGGTATCATATGACGTTATCGAGGGCTTTGGTAAGGTGGAAATTATCTACTGACGTAAACTTGTCTACTCAAACAAAACTTCCCTAAACATCTTAAAAGGTCATTGAAATTTCTGCGAGAGGTAGAGCAGTGCAATCGACCAAGTTCATGCTTTGTGGAACAAAAATTAGACATAGAGGGTATACAAAAAGTAATGTGATTTGGTGTCGTCACAGATATAGGTGTATTCACAAACTAGGCGATCATTTACTTAATATACCAGCTACACATAAATTGAATGTATTGCTTATAGTTCACGTTGTCGCGATAGCGAGAAGAGATACTGTGCGGCCACTCTGAAGATTATCGTACCGAAGGTTAACATGCCTGTACAAACAGTGCTTTTAAAACCAGAGAAATTTTGTTGCGCGATGGCATACCTGCATCGTTGTGGAGGTTTGTAGTGGGACAAAGATCTGTGGTATCGTGTTTGACTTCATTTCTAATTAATGCACGTTTCTCATATGTGTACGTTTGCAGGTACTTTAATGTCTCTTCGTGTTTCTAAAAAAATGTTTGTCAAACCTCGTAATAGTAAACACATCTACAAAGTTTTACGTCAAATTTCTACGCGTCCACTGCAGTAATTCAAGTCATGTGATAAAGCACTTCGCGCAGCTCTAGTATTTGTTGTTTTTGTCTATAATCATACAGTTACTGATCTAATTATCGCATGACTCATGCCGAATATACATGCTTGACGCTACCTAAAGTCATCTTGCCTAAGAATCAACCTACAGCTAGTTCAGATTTACCTGGTCTGGACCCGAACACGTTGCAGCTGTTCTACCACCCAGTTTCATTACCTCTGTCTGCCCCGGGTTATTATTTTCCTTGGCGCATTACAATTTTTTTTTTTATAAATTCCTCCATCACTCTTCCTAGTAACTTAATTGCATTGTACGCGTCAATCTCTATACCACTGTATTATTTTTCTACTCTATTTGGGCACTTCGTTGACTTTGTGTTACCGATTGCGGTACCTTATTTTGCTTGTCCCGTTACTCTACCTTAAGTTATAGGCATTTCGGGGTTCTGTAGCAGATACATACCCTTCCTGTGTAAATTACATATCTTTTAGTACCATTGCACTTAGCCGTTGAACTGTTTCAGAGATTAATTCGCTATTCAGAGGAACATTTGATCTTGGGTTCTGAAGTGTATTAGGCCATTTGAGAAACCAAGTGAGATTAAGAAACGTGAAAAAACTATTGATCTTTTTCATGTCCTATTTTATGGTAAACAATTAGGAACATCGTGTTCTTCCGAAAATCGAATTTTAGGTCCGTAATGTAGAGTCTAAAGGTCTAATTCATTTTTTTGTTTTACGGAACCGCCACTGAGAAAACCGCTTATAAGGTTGCACTGTAGTGTCCACGGAGCAGTTTGGTATATTTTAGCACCGGCATGTTTCTTCTGAAATTTCGTACATATATATATATATATATATATATATATATATATATATATATATATATATATATAGCCTCTTATTTGCTTTAGAGTGTAGATTAAAAAAATATAAATCAAACCTGATTTTTGCTGTTAGTAGTTAAAAATTTCATGTATATATCAACAATGCAATATCCCAATATAAGAGAGAGTAGATAGAACCATTCAAAGCACTTTGCGATATATGGGCTATACAAGTTTTGTTTGTCTTATAAAACTAAGTTATAGATTTGTCAGGTATTTTAAAGGTACTTGAAGACAACGAGCGACATATTATCGAAATTTTCCCTTGTCTGGGGACCTACATGCAGCGTCAGGTTTATGAAGAAATCTGGCCCTCCACGGAGTCGCCGATGAAATCCATGCAGGGCAAAACGAGTGACCATAGATCTATATATTTAACCGGTTCGTCCCTTTCTATTCGCTACTTCTTATCGCACTCGAAACAAAGAAATCCCCATCCATCTCTGCGAATTTTCGCTCCCAGTTCCTAACGTTAGTCTTAGAGACATCCGCTGCTGGGAGCTCAAAGCGATGACGTAGGTCTTACGTAGCAGTGGCGAGTCGGCCAAGAAATACGCTAGGCGATTTCGGGGCTCTATGCGTAATTCTAGTATTCTTTAAATTTCTCCGTTTAATTATTCGAGATTCTTCACAGTAAAATCTTTCCAGATGACCCGAATCCCATACGTTGCGTTCGCAGCTACCTTGAGGTTGGAAACGCTGAGAGCGGTTCCGAGGAATACGCGATGAGGCGACTTAATCGCCCATGCGGCGGACACTGCCCTCTAACATCCTTCGGTGACGTACGTAGTAGAATCTTTGCCGTTCGCAGAAGTCAGCAGCGCCAAGTGCAAAAATTGGCTTATACGGGCATGATGTGATGTAACAAAACATAGGGTGTTAGTAATCGCTATCGTGCGTTTCCTTCTAAATTTTATTCGTTCGGTTTTGAACAGATATACGGTCAGTCCCTGTCAGTGGAGCAGGGCAGTGGAAGTGCTTGCTGATTTGTTTGATCCTTATATCACTAAGTCGTCTCCATACATGGTGACTTCGACTGGTTTCCCTGACCCTTTCGTACAATTAAGAAGACACCCTTATTTGATTAGACAAAGGATAACGACAGTGGGTTTAGTGGTGGGTTTTTATAAGTAATTGAGCGTAGTGTTGCGTACATTGTCATCTGGGTGCACCTGATGAATGATCCGAACACTTTCTAAAGCGATTATTGATTCACACGCTTGAATGGGTAAGACGATACTGAACCAATGGACGATGAGTTAACTTGTACAAACCTTGGTTCGATTGAAGTGCCCGATGATTGACAAAAGTCTTGGAAAAAATCAAAGTGCATGTGCGTACTACAGTGGTTAGAATAGTAATAATAATAGCCAGTCAAATACATATAATATGTACAAATTTTAAAATCTGTATGTATATAAACACTAATCTCTTAGTGGGATTCTTGAAGAAGCCCTATCGGCTTTAGTATTGAGCTCATTCTCATTCAGAGGAAAGATCCTTTGTAGAAGTACGCGATGTATTATAGGTAGCAAGTACAGGTGAGTAATTTGTTGTTTTCTTTAGAAATTTTTCTGTCTTGAACCGTATTAACTAGTTGTATAGTGCTGATTGAAGCTATAAACTTAAAATTATCAGGTTCGTTTACTATGATAGTATGCTTATTATATACTATATGCTTATGTAAGAATACGTGCACTAGGGATGTATGCAGTCCATTGTTAGAAGACGCTTCTGGTTTCATATTGACTGCAATTAATATAGAACATTTATCATGGTTAATCTGAGCCGCACCGAATATTTGCATGGTAATCTAATGTCGACCGTACGAACTTCTACAAGCAATCATAACTGAAGCATTTATACGACAGAGTTCCTACCTATAGTACTGTTAATTAATTTTTTTTCCATGCACGGTGTGCAGACGAAAACATATGCCCGACCGTTCTCTCCGCGTAATCTGCATTTGGACCCTGGAAGCACCCCTTTCGTGATAACGTTGTAACACGATGATTTCAATATTTAGGGCCATAATACCAACCCGTTGTTTGATTGTCGTACATGTTTTTCGCTATGTAATAAATTGTAATATACTACCCGTAACCTACGTTTGTTGAAAGAAGTAATTCCGCTTGTCTACAAATAGACGTAACTGAGGAACCGATGCTGCACGGTAAATAATTTTTTTTATTTTATGCCGGTCACCAGGTCAAATCCTGTTTATAAAGTAGAACAAAAAAAAAAACGCTGTACATATGGAAAACAACAACCTTTTTTTTTTTTGGCTATTTCACTGCCTTTTAAGATCATTTTTTCAACAACAAGTAGACCCAGGAGTGCTCTAGTAAGGCGAGTGTAGCCACCAAGCAGGTTTTAGTTAATCTGTGATGATGTACTAAATGTGTGATAATAATAAAAGTACACACAAAGTTTGTTGGAATAGAATTCATGGACTTTTGCATCCCTTCATTTGAGCTTTTATTATATACGGAGCCTAATTTTTTGTTGTTCTCGCATAACTTCAATAGCCTACTTAATGTGGCAAGCTGTATTATTATAGATAAAAATTAGGTTTTCGCAGTTTTCTGCACGGTCTGCTCGGTTGATATCGATTTTCAGGCCTCACACGAACCGCATAAAAGCGCAGACTCAAGAGTTCGCATACTTTATTTACATTGAAGTAGCTTCGCAATCAACAATCCTTTAAATGAGCGCGTTTTAGAACACATACATATTCGTTGTGTGACCCCGTTTTAAATACATGTGTACCATCTTCGTATACTAATGCCTACGGTTTCCGGGAAGCTACTCGGGAAGGCTTCCGGGGAGATGTCTACGGGAAGCTACGCTTTCCGTTAGGTTCTTTTTTCAATACCGTCACGGATGTAACTTTATAAGGACAAATGGTCTTTCAAAAAGGCAAGAGACGGCATCAGCGACAGCAAATGATGCGCTATGATCGAGAAGACAAAAGGCTATTGATAGACAAAAGACAAAGATGGCACTGAAGCTGAAACACAAAAATTAAACAGGAATTTTGCCGGTGGCTTTGAGAGCTCGGATTGAACTGATTGGACTAACCGAAGGAAATATTTGCGTTTGCTGTGTTGGTGCCCATTCCGTCGCCAAATGCCATGGTTCAAAATGCGCTTTGCGAGCTTCATAGTTCAGTGCAGGATAGACAGGATGCATTCAGACGAGGCTGTTTTCTCTATAGGCCCATTCCTTACACGTGGTCCACAAGGCCTTCAATTCATTCTTACTCTCGCTTGTCGTAGTCGCACAGTCACTATCCTTGTTTCGCTCTTTGTAGTAGACGTGGGATGACGCGAGGCTTGAACGCACAGGAGAACAAAGAAACAGCTACTTGTGGCAATCGTTGTGGTAGCGGTGTTTTCGACGGCACTAGGACTCGCCAAAATAGTGCCAGACTGCAGTCTGGCGCACAGCATACGAGTGGAAACAATGACGCAAGATGAGAGCGGAACCCTAACAGAGCGAAGCAAACTCAATTTGAGTTTGAAGCGACACCTATAAGATGATGGGAGGTGGGCGGGGGTGTGGGTAAAGAACAAGAGTAGTCCTTGGTGATGCATAGGAGCTGACGGTACGGCGAGTTGGCCGTTTGCAAGACTTGGGCATTTGGGGATCGGCTGCCCCTGTGGAGTGCCGAACGCAAAAGGGAGAGAGGGGATGACGGAGACAACCGCATGGTTATGGCTGTGCATCTATGAGCAAAAGAGGAGAAAGGGATTTGCAATGCAAAATGCGTCTTCGTCATCACGACCACTAGAATCGCTGCTGTGACCAACATCACCTTCTCCATTCAAACCTTTCCGTTTCTCTTGTCCTCGAGGCCCCTTAACCCACCTCAGTTTTGCCTTCTTTATTACCCCTGACACCTCGTACGCCTGCAGAACATAACAGTGAAGGTAGAAAGCAAAGAACCCCCTGTTCGTATTCGCAGGTTTAGCTGTCTGCTTCAGCCACGCGCTGGTTCCTTCGTAACTGTCCGCCCAGGCTACATATCAAAGATAGTTGGGGCGTTCTGAAACAACTGCGTATTATACTACAGGGTCTCTATCTAGCTCATTTTAGTTTACTTAAGCATATCACACAATGTTATTCGATTTGACGACGGTATCTGCAGTAGTGGCTATACGTGATTTGCAAGGCACGTTATGTTCAGAAACGTAGATATGGTGCGATAATGCATGAAATACCTTTGCGTGTATAACGACAGTGACTTTGGGGTCAGTGTTAAAGGACAGCGGCCTTCTGGTTCGTCCAAAGGAAAAGCTGGAACACTTTACAGAGAAATTATGTACAGGCATAACAGCTTCATTATATGGCACGCCTTTTTGCTATACATACAGACAAAATTGTGTGTCGGAGCGCGTCTGTATACACAGATGCACTTCCGCAAAATGTCTCACTACACTGCAATCAATAAGCCGAAGTCGAATTGTTATAAAGTTACCTCCACAGGAGTTACACATGTGCCTTTTTATCCTGCGTATCTGAAAGAGTTTGGTATAGGAAACGATACGTCCATGAGTTTACCACACAAGGAAAAAAGAAATATAAGAAAAACGACAGTAACTCGAAGAAAAACCCTTGGAAGAGGCCATTATCTACCGGAAAAAGGCAGAATATAAAAAGCCAAAGGGGTTGATCTTTCGCTTGCCGCGAACAGTAGAGCACGAATATAATGTTATGCCTGGGCTATTTCGTTGGGTAGTAGAGCTTGATGTGGGGAAAAACAGGAATCGTAAGCTTTTACTGCCCATCGGAACTGCTGTTATTATTGTTAATATTATTGTTATTATTAATATTTTCGTTTTATAAAATAATTAAATGGTAATAACGAAATCTTATAGATTACTCTTCTGTTTAGAACTGGTTTAAGATATAATAGCATAGTTTCCTGCAAAACACATGTAAACGCTCTGATTGACCGCTTCAGTAACTTAGGCCTGCAAAAGCCCGCTAAGACGTGGACAATGGACGAATATCATCAAAATGTTGTCAACTTACGCAAACGTGACAGTTGAAAATTTCGCTCAATGATTGAGAATGCTTCTAGCGGTTATAGTGAAACAAATATTATATTTTTACGACTTGCACCATGAATTACCATAGCATTGGCTACAAAAATACCGTTAAATTAAACCGCTGTTTCTAAACAAGAACTCCGCAACAAAACTAGTAACTTAAGGTTTTGCAAAGTTGACAAAAGTTCTAGAGCCAGTAGGACAGTTGCTTTGAGCCCTGTCAACAAGGTGCACTATGTGTGATATCTCCAAATAAGTAATATAATTTCTAAAACAGTAGAACTTCGTCTGGCTAATGTTTAAAACTTTGTGTGGAATATCGTTCACTGCCTAACTATGCTATTTTTTTCTGAACAATATAGATGTAATTACCTTCTATTTAAATGTTAAGCGTAGCCTACAATATGGGATGTTTTTGGTACTTTCTGCGAAATGTTATTCAGACGTTTTCAGATAATCCTAGATGTTTGTTTTGAAACGTTATTGCTTCAGAACAATGTAGACGACGCCAACAAGTTAGAAGTTGGCTAGTTTTTCTTTGTTTGGAGATGCAGGAAATTACAAGCGAACTTTTGCGTACCTCCAAGCATTATACTCCGTATGGAATGCTTTCATAGTGCTTGTTATTGTTGACGTGCCTAGCAAAGCTCCATAGTTCACTATGACCAACTCGAGTTTTTAGCTTTATTTACAACGTCCTTAAATTCTAGAGGGTAAGAGAAGACAAAACAGGACCGCACGCATGTGACGTTCACTTTTGTAATCCATTTGGGTGGTCTCGAAGCTTGTTGGAACAGTAATCTACATGCAGCTATTGTCAGCGTCACCGGTAATAATTTCTACATGTGGATAACTCGTTTGTGCCCTGCTCTAAGAAGAGGCTACTAGCTCTAGATAAGATAGCGCAGGGGTCAAATACTCAGATTTGAGTTTTTGCCTGTTGTTTAGCTCTTATGGTAGTAATCGTTTAAAAAAAAAACAGTCAGCTGAGGGATAAACGTGCTGCAGTAAAGGTTTTTATTAATACGATAAATATGTAAATAGATATATAGTTAACTCTAGATAACTGCTATGCAGAGAAATAAGCTATTTTGGTAGATGATGTCTTTTAAAAATTATTCAACTTCTCGTCTAAAGAACTAGAAGTTAAATAATTTGTAAGAAGTTGTTCTTTAAGGTTAGAAAAGTGCTAGAACATACTTGCAATAACCTGTTCACTTTTCTGTACTCGTGTTCGGAAGGATACTTACACATCCACCGACCGGCTGGGATGGGTCGTCCATCAAGTCTTCTCCATACTATCTGTGGCTCTGGCTGACCTTGTGCGGTGCAACGCACCTGAAGGGGCGCTCCTTCTTCAATTTGAACACGCTGATCTCCACGCTCCACAATTGTAGCTGGTACTGAAATCAGACGTAAAAGTTTCACATCAAGCGAGGTTCAATATTTTGTCGAAATCTTAGCCAAGCCGAACTATCTTCCTAAAGTGTAAGGTTTACGTAGCTGTTACTGAGATACCACACAGAAGTGTAGGTGTGAACTTCGTCTAGGTATTTTCGAATGAGGTAATCTTACATTGGTCGATCGGATTTACCGCTAAAAGGAATATTTGTTCAGAAAAACTAAAAGTTAGAGAGGCTATTCGCTGTTGAAACGAACTTTAGTAATTTGCCATCCCACAGACGTTTGCGTGACCCGTTCTCCTAAAACTGATGCGGTTTAAATTAAACATTTTACTGATATCACATTGTAGCGCAATGTTTATATTCAACTTGGCTTGTCAATCGTATGCACACAATCATAGGATACACTATGTGTGTTAGTATGTGCCATGAAAAAGTAATCTCCATTTTCAGCGTTCACGATACAGCTGACATCATTTTCATTGGTCCTTATAGCTGTTCAAATGACGCCTATCACAAAATAATTTACACGTATTTATACATCACTGTTCAGGTCAAAGTAAGGACGCGCTTTGATAAGCTTATATTTGTATGTCTCTTTTATACGGTAGTTGGTTAGTCACAGGAAACGACTTGAGCGTATTGAACAGGAACAATTTCAATGAAATAGATACGCGTCACAAATGTGCGCTTTTTGTAAAGATGAATGAATACAGAACGCCTCTTGCGGATATCTTAATGGCCGTATTCCAGCTGTTTCTTTGAAGCCTCAACTCTCTTGGTAGTCATCGATTTACTTTTTGCTTTCCTGACTCAGTAATATTGTACCATGTGCACAAGACGAAGCTCTTTTTCCTCGTCGACAAGCTTACGGCCTTTCGAAAAGCCAAGCCGCTGCCATATTTCATCTATGGCAGTGGTATTATTTCTGTTTGTCCTTGTAACGCATGAGCGAATGAGCTCGTGTCGAACCTATTCACCCGTTACGTTCCCCAAATATCTTTAGTTTTTGAGTTCTCCAATAGCTTCTATTTTTCGTTTATTTTCCTGCCCCACTTTGGCCAATATTCCCAGCATAAGCCCGCTAACGAAGAAGACAATTTACCAGAGCTTCTACCCACAACCACAGCTACACGATCATGGTGTATTGCTAAATGGTACCTAGGGCAGGATAAGGATGACGCATAAAGTGTTTTGCCTTCGGCGATCGCATAAGGTGGCGTTGCCGGTGCAAACGGAGGCGGACTTATGCCATCTACCCTCTGTCTGCGTCCTAGTAAGTGACCAGTACCGGCAGAACGTCTATTACTCTAGAACTGCAACAGAAAATGCTGGGCCACCGTAGTTTAGCTCAATTTCCGCTGGACCATTTTTTTGCTAGAAACGGGATCGTTTGTTGTTCCAAACTTTCTTCTAAACCGTTTAGGTTTTATTCATTGATAGATCTTTCTCGACCCTATTTTTGGCTACCCTATTTTTTGAAGGCGGATTCTTGTTTGGTTGAAATAAAGTATGCAATGTCTCGGTAATCAAATATTGGAAATTTTAAAATAGAAAAGAGCTTCACTTAAGACCATGAATACTTAAGGTATAGATCTCTGGTAGCCGATTTTTTAGATTAACCAATCTGTTATCATATACAAGTTTCGAAATTAAACAATTTAGCTATTAGAAATATCCTAACGGTTAAGACCTTTTGGAGTAGACAGTTCTTGAAAAGATTTTTGCTAAAAGTTTCCAACCATGTCGTGTAATAGGGACGTGCATATTTTTATTTACATGCAATTTGTAGGACGTGCGCCTACAGAGAAGTACGACTTTTCGCAGATGTACATTTAGATTTTGAGGCCCATAGCTGCCCCCAATGCAATAGATTTATACTGATACAGTCGATGCAGTCGCAAATCGTCTGTAGACGATTTTCCGTCGTATTTTTCCGATGCCATTTTATCGCATTGGAATGATCCGCCTGATCACGTAAACTTTATAAGTGATTAAACTTCAATAAAAATTTGCATCGATCGCATGGCGTTCTAAGCGAATGTCGTATAGATAGTGCATTATAACCCAGTTAATACTTCAGCTAATTTACAACAGGCGTACGAAGGGCTTCGCAAGTGGATAAGTACTTTTCAGCGTTCGTTTTCATACGAGACATCGGCGCTATAGAGCAATTTAGCTCGCCGTCGTATGAAGCTGAGCATAAATCTTGATTTCTTCTCAGACCAGTCCTGCTGAAGATGCCGAAAAGTGTTGCGACAAAGATTTCCGGCTGGCAGCGACAGCAGATGACGCCATTTAACCATCCAAGGAACCACTACGTGTGATAACTTTTCCAAAGAAGCTTTGGTATGATTGAGCGGGTTCTTGGAAGGACGAAGCCCTTCATCATTTCAAATCATTAAACTTCACCGAGGACCAGGATCAGAGTGTTCTCAAGAGAAAGCAAAAATGACTTGTCTGTTCACTCAAAGATATCGCACACAAATAAATAGAGCGTTTTGTCTAAAATCGGCCCTTCTCAATAATACGCGTCAATATACTACTGGGATATTTGTTACGCGCTATAGGGTGAAAACCAGGACGATGCAAAGGGCTTTGACCCGTGGCGCTACAACTTTTATGAAAGATGTATTTATTAATTATATATTAATAAAAAAAAATATAAAATAGGAATAAAATCTATTAGCACTAGCTTATCATCAATCTATAATTAAAATCCTTCCATTTGTAGGTTTCAAGCACGTAAAAGATAATGCTGTTAGGCCTAATGTGGGCCTTCATTCGCTGGTAAGCATTGCCTTTTACTTGCAAGTAAAAGGAAGTAAGGTACGAGGTTACTCTTAATTTAAGCGATGCGTCGCGGCACAACAAGAACGTCTTCTTAAACTTAATGAGTAATGACTACCTAGTCGAACTGGCTTGCTAATCTCAGATAAAAAAAAAAAGTCGAGTGTTAGAAAAACTGCATGTTTTAATCATGAGCTATCTGAGTAAGCATTATTAAAGGTTTCCTTTGGTCGACCCTCGGGTTCCAGAGATTCTTATGGCTTTCGGCTCCTGAGACTTTTAGGACTTGTTACGAGCGTCATGGGGTGCGCGCACTCGGCCTCATAACTCGTGCACTTGTTGAAACATCTGTATACTATAAAAGAGCTATACACTCACCGAGACTGCACGCTACGCAGCTTCATGTATAGAAATAGGCCAATGAGCGACGATTTTATCTTGACCCATTCAATAAAATCGTCACACGGCCTGTGGGCACGGATACAAGGGTCTGTTTCTATTTTTCTATAGTAAAATAACCTTTGCTATTCAATAAAATCGTTCTTCTTGAGTCACGTTTTTCTGCTGTTTCGAAGGACTACATCACAATGTCAGATGATGGCCGTGTACTCGTGAACATGTTCTATTCTGATATACTTGTCTCTTCTAACAGTAGGATGAAAATGGACGTCCTATGTATTCCGTTCTAAAAGCATGGCTGCGATTGTGTATATGGCAGGACGATTCAATCTTCAAAATGTCCTTAAGAATTTATGCACTTGAGCGGACTTGCCTCTTAGGGTGCATGACCACCAGTTAGCTTGTGCAGATCGATTATGACTGGGAACAGCAGGACACTCGTACATGTGTAATTTCGCTAAACTAGAGTCGAGTTGATTTATAGGTGCGATATACAGTTTTTAAGTTATTTTATCCGAATATATAAGTTCATGTAATCTAAAGACACGTCAAGCATACTGAGTGACTGTTTGTTATTTATCCATGAGAATTAAGAAAAAAAAAAAACTTATAATAACGATAATGATAATTGCCTGCATTATATTATATTTTCTACACTTATAAATTCCTTCAACTTTGCCATGTATTTTTAAGAGAATGCCCTAGTCTTCTATCCATTTAAAATTTTTCACAAATACCTTCCGAGCATTCACGTCTTATTTCCTTGCAGGTATAATACTCTAAGTTTTCGGACGGTGCCTACACAGGCTGGATTTGTAACTAACGGGATAGGAAATCAACCATAAGTGCAACCTACGAAAACCTTTAATGCTGCTCAGTTTCAGCAATACGGCTACCATATAAAGTACTCATATATACTATATTTTTGTCTCTTTAGAATATTTAAGCTATTTACCAAGATGCACGATAGACTTGAGTTTTCATCTTAGTATGGGTGAAAGTATAAAATCTAGCGAGAATATGTAGGTTGATTTTCTGCATTTTTGCCAACGTAATTTAGATATTCAGATTATAATCGGATAAATTAGTCTACATACAGGACAAGTAACATTACCAATTACGTCCTTCACATCTGTTATGTTGAGGCTTGCAGCGGTAGCTCCGTTGATCGTGTAGGAAGTGATACCGGGCATTCCAGGAGGCCCCTCAGCTCCGGGAGGGCCTCGACGACCCTTTGGGCCAACGGGACCCTGCGTGCCTGGAGTACCAGCAACACCAGGGAGGCCAGGAGCACCGGGAATACCTAATCGAGATCGAACGTCAATGTTCTGTTAACATACCTAAATCGTGGAATATGAGCTTCGAATTTGGAATGAAAATGAATAATAAATATAGCTAGAGTCCTTATTGTTTCCGTTATTGAGTAAAAAGTATAATTTTGTTATTTTCAACCTACCTGGCTTTCCCTTTGTTTTATAATAATGCAAATAGCCAAACTAATGGCAAAACAACCCTAAACTGACTGTGAATAATCCAGGTTCAAATCTATATAGTTGTTGGCAATGCGGGCTTTAGAAACAAATCTGTCAGATGTAGTGAGCACATACGTTACTACTGCATTGTCGATGAAGGCAAGGCTGTATAAACTTGACAGAGACTATTAAACGTCAGTATGCTGCCAGCAATAAAAAAGCAAAAGCAGACTTCCAAGTGAATGTTCTGTTCTATACTGTTATTTTATCCTCACCATCTGACCCGTTAATTCCAGGCCGCCCCGGTGTGCCCGCTAAACCAGGTAGACCATCCCGGCCTGGCGTGCCGTCTTCCCCGGGCATTCCAGGCATTCCGTCAAGACCTGGTTGACCAGGAAGTCCGTCAAGGGCTGGTAAACCCGGCGGGCCTCTAGCTCCTTTGTCGCCTTTTGGCCCTTGTGGGCCTGGAGGCCCTGGTGGTCCGCCAGAGAAACGTCGGATACGGCCTCCACCTAAATTCCTTCGAGTCCCCCGATCTCTGCAATGGCCTGGTAGTCCTGGTGGTCCTGGAGGTCCCGGTGAACACTGGCAAGCTCCAGCTGATTTTGAATCAACGTGCTGAGATTCCCCATCTGCAAATCGAACAGATTTTGCCGTATGACAGGGTTTAATTGCATAATAAATGTTTTAGAAAAGGAAACATGAAAACACGGCACGTTTTGAGCAATCTATTGGTAGGATATATTCTCTCAATTTTAGTGACATGTCAGAATTTAGATTTAATAAAATGAACAGCAACGAGCCAATGTCATGGACCGCATTTTTTGCATGGCGTTTCCGCCTTCCTGTTGACACCGATAAGTGGTTATAAATGATAAAGTAATAAACAAAGGATCTTCTCTTCGTTTGTTTCGACTGTTGTGTCATTTAGGCGTTCGTTTTTTCTGAGTCGTTCCCAAGCCAGGATATATTTAACAACTAGCTTTAATAACGAAGTTCAATGTTTATTTATATGCCTCGTAACCGACTTTACCTCATTAAACTGGATTTGTTATAGGACAAGAGGTAACGTCAACGGTAGAGCGATTCAAACAGTGGACATTATATTCCATTTACGAAAAGGGAGAGGTAAGTTAAGTAAGGCGAAGTTTACGACTCACTTGGACTTAAATAGGAGCGTGCAATACAAAACAATAAAGTGCATCTGATAAATGGGGCTCAGCTATCCACGACCTTTATTGGGGTCTACGTGAGTCTGATGTGCAATCATCCAACACCGGCGGGGGTTGACGTCAAACATCGCCAATGGGAGCTTATGGCTTACGCTAGAGATGGGCTGGCCATATCCGAAGCAAACGTAACGGTAAACGTCCACTATGTCGTAAATCTCTTCACGTTTAAATACAATAGCCGACTGTTGCTACTTCAAGTGAGCCGCAAGTTTAACATTCGTTCACACAAACTTTAGACTGTTCGATCCGACTGTTTAGAGAGACACTTCGAACTCAATTCGAGTAACACATACGATTCAAATAATGTCCAAGGGAAAGACCATCGAAAAGCAGTGTTTTCGTCTATTTCATCAAAGATTCCATATGAAAAAAACAATTTGCGGTGTAAAATACGTCATGAAATTTAGCCACATTGAGAAATGTCTATGGGTTTGACGATCCATATATATCGATTCGTGACAAAAGTGGAAACCTGTAATATATTAATCGATGCTGTAGCTCGATCTGCGGCTCGTGCTTTATCGAATGCTTCCGAGGCGTACCATGTCTTCTAGATGACGTTCTGCAAGCCTATCATTTATATGGCTGATTTAATTTGATGCCATTCTAGATACTTGTACATCAAAACTAGCTATTAGAAGTTCAAGTCTTTCTCAGCTACCTTTCCTCATAAGATGAAGGCGACGCTGATACTATCCTGATATCTCAGTAATAGCCAGAGCACATCGCTTATGCGCACTGTATCGTAATGGCTACGTGCAAAGAATGGAGATCCGCCACCGACTCGAGTCGTTTTTATCCGCCAAAACTCGTCTATGTGAGTTACTTCCGATTGCAGGTGGGTTAAAGAACGTGGACTTATCTCTGACACCGAGGGCGCAATTGATCCCCTACGAAAATGTCCTTTCATCGTCTGAGACAGCGATACTGAAATCTCTACGGTAGAGGGCGGCTACATTTCTACATCGTGTATCGTTACCGTCCCTTTTATACATTTAAATCTACAACTTATAGGGTGACGTTTTACTAGGCATACACACGCAGTGGCTTCTACCGAAGGTCATAGCTTTTGTCCACCAATACTGTCAAACTCGTCGAATATTTACGAGCTTTTTGCTCTATCAATAACGCACAATTTGTAATGCTCCCAGCCTAAACTTTATGGGAAAAAGTCAGCCATCCGCTGGTCTCTATGCATGCCCTTCTATGCCATAGGTTGTGTTAACGCAGGCATAATGGCAGGTTGTCTCTTCCCATTGCGGTCCTCAATATCTCCGTTTCGATTTTTACCAATATAGTTAGCCGAACCCTAGTGTCCGCCCCCCGGGGCTAACGTTTGTTTTTCGGTGCTGTGATTCGGTATCGGCCCACTGGTATAATAGGCAGCAGTACAACACGCCATATTTAGGGAGATCAGGCAGACTGTTAACGGCTAGCCAGCAACACAGCCGCTTTGAGTAACTTGCGATTTTTCGGTCGACGTAGCGTATACATTAAGCATTTTTTTAAAGCAATGATTCGTACCGTGCTAGTTTAGTGACTGAGAGTAGAGTGTAACCAGGCCTCGCGGCGTAGATATTTGGCTCCTTGAGGAGTAGCCTGTTTCATTTGAGGATCAACGAAGAGCTACAGAGTGAGGTACCCTCAGGAGACCGAATGGTCTTCATTAGCCAACAAAAGTACATCGTTAACCCTCCTTCGAAAAACTGTCGGGCCAATAGTACTAACTTTAGAAGTTGAAGCCGCGGCTTCAACGCGAGTCATCCGTTGAGCTCGTCATGTATACCGATGATGTGAAATCTTTCATCCTTGTTAGAGACTTCGAGGATCATCGTATGCTTTAACTCACCTCAGTCAAAAAGATGGATCTCAGCTTTTCTGCTAACAAGTACGGAATCTGTCACCTCGGACCCTCAAACCTAAACTCCCGTACCAACTAAATTATGCTCTATTGGTTGAACTCAGTGTTGAGGAATGGGTTGGGGTGTGATTTTCACTCCCGCTGCGATGCGTATCGATAAAACTGGATCTTTAATATTTCTTCGTTTTTCGACCACCCTGCTGCTCTCCCAAATCAAACAAGTTCCAATGTCGTTTCTCCTATACCATAGTCATGCCATATACGTACAGTTAGTTTCATTCTCATCTTGGTAACTTCATTTCCCTGGAAAAAAAGTGCAACAACGATGCCTCAAAAGTGTTTATTAACAAATCGCTGCCTACTGTTATTTTATGAATTTTATCTTCCATAGTTTTTGAATGTGTGAGAGTGTACGTTCACCGTAAGGAAAACATTCCCGGATAGCTTGTCGTAACAGATATGTTTTCATCGGCAACTTCTGCTATCGGAAGGGTGCCACCTCTTTTTAGAACAAAACAGCGTGCTATTTTGAAATTTCGACAAAGATCAACTATTATGCAATCTTTATCTTTCTTAGGCTGGACGAAGTGTCAGCGTGATCACGAACTTTCGGAGAAAAAGTAGAATAAAGTTCCAGTATATCAAAACGGAATATCTACGATAAAAAAGAACAGTACGAACCCTAACGTTACTCGATGCCCCCCGGCAATGCTTGCCCAATGATCTCTTTGTTTCGATCACATCGTAGGCGGAGAAATCTGATTTAAGTACATCTACGATGTCCCAAATCGTCCCCGAAGACCTCGTGTACATGCTATATGTAACAAATGTCAGACAGATGTCTTCTAAAGACGATAAAACAAAGAGATTTGATCAACGTCGTTCGCTATTCAATTCTCTCAAGAACAACGTACTAGGTCGTCTTCGACTTCATCTGCAAAAACCTGTCTATCTCCGATGCAACAATCAGTCGTAGAAGTATCGCTAATTTGCTCACCACGATCACGGTAAGCAGCAAATTTTTAATGGTGGTTGTTTAGCCGATTGGATTACTATATATGGACCGTTATTGAGCTAACGACATGGCAATGTCTACGTTTACTCGTGCCGTTATCAAGAGGGCGTTCGTCTCTCACCTAACATTTAAGCCATTGCTAACATTTATATAAAACATTAAACGAATCTACGAGCGTTTTAGATCCTGTATTCGCGCTGGATGATATTTTTATTGAACAATCATCATAAGCAACAACTATAGCATATGCATATGATTTCGTTGAAATCTATATGTTTTTGTTTAGATACGGTGGTGGAAACCAAACATGAGAGACATTTTCAATTTTGACGCTCCACTCTGTATTTAAATATGCATATGTATATATGCAATAAGGTTTCAGTGCATTGTGCTTTATCCTTTACCCAGTATTGTTGAGGGGAATGCAAAGCTGCGAGCTAAGCGTAAGGCCTCACGATCGTTGTGTCTTGCAAAAGCCATATGCATGCACGTAGGCCCGCTGGTACGAGAGCTTGAAGTTATGATAGGCGATATCGATGATGGTAATAATGGCGCCATCGAGCGCTCAAAGACAAAAGCCCTATATTAGATGTGGTTAATGAGACTATATAGCAACGGTTAGTGCTGAGACCACCGAAGAAAACGCAGGGATCACAAAGTGTCTGGACGTTCCGCGAACCGACATTATTTGACCGACTGCCGATGGATCAGCGCGCAGCAGACGTTAAGCTTAGGAACTAGGCACACGTTGCGCAGGTGTGCCATTGCGTCTATGATTCACATCGTTCGGAAAATTTCGGCCACTGCTTCTGGTCACTGATGTGTTCTGCGCAGGTCGATACCGTTCGGCAAACTTTAAAGAACTGAAACAGCAAGACTGAGAGACCTAGACAGTTCAGCTTTAGAAACACTTGTTTTCAGATTTGTCTATTAAAGCAGGAAGCATAGCATTGAATCGGCTTGATACTGCTTATAGAGTGGTCTATAAATGTCTGCGCGCGCCCCAAGAATGATGTTCGTTCTTATGACTTCTGCTTTAAGCAGACCCGGTTTTCTCTGACACAGAGAAGGTCAGATGAAAGGGTATCAAACAAAAAGGGATCAGGATTTTGCCAAACGAGAAGTGTCTCATTGTTCGTTCTTTAAAGGCCATGGTAACTGAGGGTGCCAGCTAATTAAGTTGGTTAGTCGTTTGAAGTTTCTTTACAAAGTCAATGTAGAGGAGAAGGGTTCGGGATGCGCGCGAATATATCCAAAAAGCTTTGCATATATATTTATAGTATCATGAAGAAAATTGTACTAGAAGGAAAAGCCGCTTTAGTTAAGCTTTGTGGCAGACGGTCAAGCACAACTTCGATAGTTATCAGTACATACTCCTTACCCCGCAAAGTTTCACATCCGATTTTCATGGTAGGTAAAAGTGCGCCACAACATAAGGAATAACTGAATCAAAGTTCAACCGACCATTATGATCAGTCTAAACTCATCAATTACACTAAAACAACTCTAAAATATCTTCCGGCC